TTTTTTTTTCTGTCGTTGTCTATCTATATGTAAATGATGTGTGTATATAAAGGCTGTTTTTTCTTTCTTGCTTATATTTGTCTGATACGTTTTGTCGCGTATATATATATATATATAAAAGAGAAAGCGAAGAATCCATTCTTTATATATGCCTGTCTTTTTTTTTCATGCTCGATTTTTTTTTTCGTCGATGATGTTGATTATGATCACATAATTTTAAGGTGACTATTCATGGTGGTACCTTTTATTCAAATTGTATTAAAGAAGAAATAAAAAACCGAAGGAAAAAAAATAGGTATTGTGGTGTAGTCGATTAAAGGTAGTTTTTATGCTATAGAATGTTTATTACGATAAATATATTCGATATTGATGAATATTGGTATAAAACGAGGGAATAAAAATATGAAATATTTACATTGAAATGATATATATATATATAACAACGAATCATTCGTATTACAATTTTTATTATTATTGAATGACAAAATGCCAACGATAAAAAAAATAAAATAAATATTATTTAACTAAAAAATCAACGAGAAGTTTTTTTTATTTATTGCATATTAAAAGTTTTTTTTTGATAAACATATTCGTCAATGAAAGACTTTGATTTTAGTTCGGGTTCTATTGTAGATTTAAAGCTCGATCTTGATGTTTCATATCTATTAGTTTTGATCGGCCATCTTTTAATCGTTAATGGAATCAGAATATCATGTTGATGAAGATTGTGATTATGATGATGATGATGGTGACGATGACGATGATAAGGACTTTGATAATTAGACTGATAAAGATTAGGATAGTAATAATTAGTTCGACTACAAAAAAAAATATTATTATTATACAAGAATAATTTAAAATTCCATCAATACGTATAATTATCGTTTTTGCTACCCTGCTGTAGCCATGACAATTCAAGAGGTCGTTTACTCTGAGGATTGTATAGTTTATCACGTCGTGATTTATATACTGGTAATATTTTTGGTATTGTTTCTACGAGTTTTTTTGGTAATTTATATTCTGATGATTTAGGTCTAGGAGGTTCAATTACTGGTACAGTTTGAACTGGTCTTTGCGAATAATTCTTCCCATATGCTCTACGTAAGAATGGAATTTTTTGAAATTTTAATGATATCGATTTCATTACATTACTTCGCTTGTTTGGCTTGCTTGCTTTTGTTACTGCCCATAGTTTGATCGATTTCAAGTAGATTGTGGGTATTATATAAATTGTTCACGTTTTTTTTTTCTTCAAATAAGCTGTTTTTATAAGAGAAAATATGAGTGCATGCGGAAAAAAGAAAAAAAGTCGAAGCATATTTTGATTCTTTGATTTTGAAGTGTTTCACTTGAAAATATTAAACCGATGAAAGAATGTGAATTTTGACATTAATCGCTATGAAAATATAAGCAAAAAAGAGTAAACCAGATATTCATAAAGTAGTTCTTGAGTAACTGATTATATTAACAGAATAAACGATTTTTATAATTTAAAAAAATGAAATGCATTCAGATTTAAATACTTGTCAATATTTTACTAAACCAACAAAATCAACATAAGAAGACTGTATAATTCACATCGATCGATCATGTCATTAAAATATTTATAGTAAAAACGATACGATTAAATATAATAATAAGTTGTCTTGACTCTTTAAAATTGTTATCATAACTAACGAAATATTTTCTATCGGATTTATCAAAACACTAATCTCGATCTATCGGAGATTAGTATAGTTATAGACGATTATGCTTCTTCTTTTTTTTCTAAATCCTATACATGTTCTGATTTATTTTGTTAAGTATTATTTTATTATGATGATGACGAGCATTTTTCTTTTCATATTAAGAGTATATTATCGATCATTTGTTTTCTAATATTGAATGAAACGTTTCGATTCCAACTGTGCGATAATTATTCTCATAGAAATCTGCAATGAATCAATCTTATGAAAAGTTTTTGAAAGGAATTAAACGAGTGATAGTCTGAATTTCTTACATATTTCGAATACAAAAAAATAATTACATTTTTCTTTATCCGATTATTAAAAAGATAAGTTTGCAAATTAATTCATTTAATATGAAAATATCAAAAATAAATTTTGTTTTTCTACAAATACTAAAGAATAACATTCGAGCTATGAATAGATGGTATGCGACAGATGTCAATAAAAGAATTGAATTAGTAATCAATTCTTTTGAAAAGAATCGAAACTGATAGTTAATTATTTTTAAATGAAGTCAATCCAATACATATGAAAAGTATAATTATAAAACTTAAGTTGCTAGAAGATTTTTTACGGAAATCAATAAACAAAAAATAATGATTTAAAGTAAGTCTTCAATTCTGCTCGAATAATATTGACTAAGTATTTAATACTGATGGATTCAATCTATTACAGCTGGCGCATGGTTTTGAATAAATTAGTTAAGCCGTATGTTGTTGTGAATAGACTTACATTATATCACCTAGATTCAAATAAATCTATTATATTTGACATGACAAACATATATCTATCTCTGTAGAATTAAAAAATTGTATTTCAAACAAAACATTAGATGTAAATCTTATATATGTATAGTACTATTCGAAATATTTTTCGAGACTGTTGGAGTCAATTTAATAGTTTGATTACTATGTAATGAATTCACCGTCATTGAAGGACACATTTGAGAAATTTTTAAATTTATACAATTCAATATGGTCTGTGCCGATGCTGCTGATCCATCTTTACTTGAACAGAAATGATGATGAACATGATTCATCGATGCCCATAATTCATAGTGAATTTGTGATTGCCATTGTGCAGTAGTTAATTCAATAAGTGTACGATTTGTTTTTAAAAATAAAACATGTGTTAGACCAGCACCATGCATACCAATAAATATATCTTTTTGAGTCGTAATTTTTAATTGTTCTTCCATAGTTAAATTTTCATAATAATTGTAAGTAAAATTAATTTTTGAATTATTTGAAAATACTTTGGTTAAATCATTAATAATTTGTTTTTCATTTTGTAATTGTCGTGTAATTTTTCCTGTTGGATTTCTTGGATGTGCAACATAATTACGTCGACATAATAGAAATATTTGTAATGAATTACAATCTATTGGTTTTTTATATTCAAAAGGCACATTAAATTGTTTTAAAATATGATCACGAAAATCAAAAAAAAAACTTGGTGCTTGTCGTCTGTCTCGTTGTAGATCGATTTCAGAATTTAATTGTGGTTGAGACCAAATTAATTCTTGATAAAAAATTGTTGGATATTTTTTTAATTGTCCTAAACGAGTATAGGAATGAAATAATTTTGACCAAAATATATCTAAATTTCCTTTGGGATGAGCATCAACAAAAAGAATTCGAACAGATTTTGGATCTCGTTGAAAAAAACGACATAAAAGATAAACTGTATAAAGATCTGTCATAGTATGATAAATATTAACATAATCTTGTCGATTAACAGCAATAGTTGTTTCATTAATTCGTAAATGGACATCCATACATGTTCTGTAGGGTGTTATTGAAGATAATACGCTAGATAAATGATTTGCCAAAGATAAATCTTTCGGTATTGAAATATCACAGGGAAGCTAAAATTGATTTTTTTTGTTTTAATTAATGACAAAAATAAATATTTTACCTTAAGAAATTCTTTATTAAACTGAAAATATTCATCTCTTTCAGCTTGATTTAAAACAGTTTGTATATCTTCACCACCTAAACGTTTACCTTGAGCAAATTTTGTTTGTAAAATAACTGAATGTGTTACAAAAAATAATTTATTATAAATTGATAAGGATGAATGACATAAATTGATTTCATTTTTACACCATTGTTTTAATGGATCACCTGAACAATTTAAGATTGTTTTATTACGTGTTGTATTTGTACATAATGTTAAGTTACCATAAGTATTCTGAGATAATAAATAGAGTGCGTTATAATTTATTTGTATAAATGCACCAAAACAAAAAGTAATAAGGATTAGTTTTAATAATATCGATCGACGAGATCGACGACGAAATAATTTTGAATAATAACGTTTAATGAACATTTATACTAAAACAGTTTTTATTTTCATTGTAATCTATCTTAATAGAGATGATTTTATTAAAATATAGATATTCGTATGAACGCATTTGTACTTTCTACAAGTGCCTATATTAAATTATCTTATCCTATCGTCTTTTTATTTTATATTAATCATTACCTATACTATTTTTTTATAACCCTTGGCAGTTACAGTTGAGTAAATTTGCCAATCATACTTCTTTTCTATTTACAAAAAAAAATGAATTCTTTCAACTACTTATTTTATGGTGAGAACAGTCGTATGATAAAAGAAATAAACGCAGATGTTAGTGTTATCAATGTGTGCAAATACACTCTACCTTTCCTATCTTTATATTACATAAAAATGTGTACATAAAAGTTGACAAATTTAATAGTGTTAGTCATTACGCTTCGTTTTGTACATAATATGATGTACTATTTGTGTTATCATGCGTGAATACAAACGAGGTCAAAACATAAGAAAAAAAAAATTATTTCTTACCACGTGAAAAGAACTACAATCAAGGCTACCTTTGTATAACAATTGTCAACAATATTTTTTACAAATACAAGGGAAAAACATTTGATAAATGATCGTTTGTAAATTTTCATTTCTAATAAATTGAACGACTATTTTATGAAATTAAAAAATATTATCAATGACTTACTATTCTCGTAACTGTCCTTTTATGAAACTTACTAAAAATGAATGAATACTTATATGTATTATCAAGATATAAAAACGTTTCTATTATGCTAAGAAATTAACTTGTCTGGCAAAGCATGAACAAATTCTTATTTATCTATTGAGAGTAATTGACAAACTTTTTCACAATTAGAAACATTTATATGATATAAATAATTCGAGCTTAACTAATTCAATAATTTGTAATTTCTACTTGAATTAAAAAGAACATTGTGTCATAAGACTATAACCATATTCTGATCATACTTAATCCTTAAATGCCGTGGGGTTTTTTTTCAATATGAGGAGAAACTCACTAGTACAATGGAGCTTCTGAAACCTTAATATGATTGTATTATAGTGGAAAAAAATGATCTTTTTGTTCATGAAGATACAGTATGTCTCTTGGAGGGTGTGAATGTAGGTGTGAGTAATGAATTAGAAGAATACAACCACATCCTCAAGATAGAAAATATCAAGAATGACGGTGACAACAGAGAAGACCACTATATGAGTGAGGAGAGAATACATCATTGACATTTCTAAAATATGATAAAGTACACTGTAAGGACCTACTTTATGATGTCGTAATGTATTCGTAGATCGGTAAAAATTTTGCGGAATGAGTTCGTTGGATAATCTGATAATACATCTCATGATATAAATTAAAAAACAAATTCTCATTTTGTTCCTATGGATAATTAAAACCAGATAGTAACACTGAAAAGTTATGGTTTCGTTTAAGAGCCATTCAAGATTGATTTTTTTCTTTTTCTATGACCTATTATTCTGAAAGAACGCTAGGTTTTTTTTATATCAAACTTTGTTATGTACTGTATCGCACTTTTCACAATGTCCTTTAGAAGGGACATTTTGGCCTTTAAGGGTTAATTCAAAATGTCGTAAATTCTAAAAATACATACTATGTAATATAAACGACCACAATGACAGAATACAATTGTAAAGTAAGATTAAAAAATGAATAATTTATAGGATAAATCATATAAAACTACTATTAACGTTTGAAGAAAAAATTTAGACAACTCATGACAAAGTTAAAAATAATCATAAAGAAAAAGACATAACTACATCGTAAAGATAAGTAACTAAGAAACAAGTCGTTTTGTATAGATTCAATAATAAAACCAAATAATTATTTGATAAACTTTAGAAAAAAATAAGAAAATGTTGCTAATAAGAATTAAATTTTCCATTTACTGTCATTTTTTAATAAAATTATTATAATAATCTGCTTACATGAGGCGTGTCATTTTGAAATTGACATTCAGAGAGAATATGGATACAAAGTCAATATTATATATCGTACGTACTTGGAACATTAAATATTACCCTAAAATAGTATATTACGTCTTATCCCAAGAAAATAGTTCTTTTTTTATTAGCTCAAATCGCATCGATCTTTCTTTTTCCCTTGAGAAGAAAAAAATTCTAGTGTAAATTCCACATTGCCTATTAATAAGAAGAAAAAGGAATAAGCTACATGTCGCCTGCTATATTTATATTCTCTACCATCATTAGTGATTTTTACTAATGTTATTATTGGAATTTCTTTTTTTTCCTACATTATTTTCTCATTTGTATATGTATGAAAAGAAAAAAAAACTTTAAGCTTACTGTAGTATTACTTTAATGTTCTATTCGATTAACTCATACATAGTTTCATGATAAATTCATTCGCAAGTATTTATAAGACAAAAATGTCAGTGGAAATCTTTTTTTTTTGCCTTTTTTATGCTTATGAGAATGATTATATATACAGAATAAGAGAAAGAACATATACCAAATAACATCCGTTATTGTCGCTTGAAAGAAAGAATAACAGATCTATATTATTAGTAAGAATTCTTGTGTGAAAATGATATGCATTCATTATAAAATCATATTCATATATCTTTTCCTCATTTTTTTAATACGATATTTTCAATGCTTAAAAGATAAATCGATGTATAGCAGTTATTATTTTTATTTAAGCGGATTTAATTTATTGCTTGAATAAAGAATGTGTCATATAGTTTAGATGTATGAACAGCAGATAAAGATCATTGTTTATTCTATAAAAAGATCACATATTTTCTTTTATATACGGAATTTCTTATGGCGGGTATCAGTTAATTGTTATGTTGTTTTTTTGTTAAGAAAAATGTTTCTATGAATAGTAATCAGAAATTTAATACGACAAATATTGAGAGTCATGCATCAGCTGTGCATCAAAATGCAAATATATGTCAAGAAATAAATGATTTACGTTTGAAACAAATAGAACTTGAAGAAAAATTGAAAAATATCGAATATGACGTGATCAAACATGATGAAATTGATAATTATAGAAAGCAAATTGAAAAATATCAATCAGTTTTGACCTATAAAAATAAATTAGAATGTTTTCCGGGAGAAAATCTAGAAATTTTCCGTCTATTTATCTGGAATTTATGTTCGGATGTATGTAACTGGAAATTACTCGCACATTCTATATATCATATTGAACATTTAATTAATAATCTTGATAATTATCAATTAAAAGAAATTTTAAAAAAACAATTTCAAATTTTATTAAATGATTTTAAGTTATTTATGAAAGAATTAATTAATCTACAGATAAAATCATCAACTTCTTCTGAAATAAACTTGTCTAATGAAATTGAACAATATATTCAGAATCTTAAAAATAATATGATGAATTTAAAAGAGTTAATCTTAATAAATACCGAACGTTTTCATACAAGTCAAGCAGGTACTGATGCTATTCAAACTCTTCTACAAGCTATTGATAATATAAATTTTGATTGTAAAAAATTTAATAAACAAGATGAAAATCAAATTCGTTTATTAGCTTTAAAACAAGATCTATTAGAAAAAGTTAATAAAACAGATTTAATAAAAATTAAAACTTATATTGATAATCAAATAAAAGAATTAATTGAACTTAATAAACAAAATGCGAAACAATTAGAAGAAATTAAATTAAGTAAAACTTCTACATGCGAAGCTCGCTATATGCAAACAATTCTTTCTAATAATCCATTATTATCTCCTTATAAGAAACAAAATCGAGCTTACTCCTATCAAAGTTCAAGACCATATATTACTTTGGAGCTTGATCATATACGTAAATATCAACAACAAGCATTATTAAAATCACCATATGGTACCATTCCACTATATAGACGACAAGCATGGGTATAAATAATTGATAAGAAAAGAATTTTGCATCAATAGGTTAGAATTTCTAGTAAAGACAATCTATCTATTTTATAAATCGCTTTAACTGAGTGGTTCGACCTTATTAGTCCTGACTACTTTGAAAGAAATTAAATACTATTTTGAACAGTTACATATAAGAATTCACTAGTCGACGATCTTGCCTCTCGTTATTCCAGATTTTCTTAATAATCTGACAAGATTCTTACCTGGAAAATCAGATCTGAACATTCTTTTAGATGAAAGCTTGTCTGACGAGCCAAGAAATGTCTCATCCGGCAAGATTCCTTCCTGATTTCTTTTTTTTTCTTTCATCTAACATGTTTGTTTAAAAATCAATAAATATTAAAACCATTTTATCTACTCGAAATTTACTCTCGGAAAATAAATAAAATATTTTATTTATATTAAGAATTCATGCCTATCACTGAAGTTCATCTTCTTCATATTTGTTGCTCGAATCGATGATTGATCTTTTGTCCTTAAATATTCTGACTAACCTACTATCGAAATGTAACTCAGGTGTTGACTGGTCTAAAAATAAATAGATAAAGCCTAGTCGTTTGTATATATAGATACATGTATACAAAGCCATCACGTGGTGTTGACCTTGAAGATTAGTCAAGGTTCTTTTCATCTTGAACTTCTGGTTAGAATTTTTTCTCTTTCCTTTCAAATAGAATTTTGCCTGAACATCATGACTATAAAGAATCTGAAAAGGCAAGAGCGTCGACTAGTGAGAATTAAAAGGGAAATAAGAGCAGATTGAATATTAATTTTTTAAAAGACGTGACTGCTAATTAATTCATTTATTTTCCTTCTTGTTATGACTTTTCTGTGGTATGATGTTCGTTACAGAAATTAATGAGTTTGTCGTGTAGAATTATTAAGGAAGTTTAAGATGCATGTGCTGTGTCGACCACTTGCTATTGCTTGAAAAGACGCCTTTCACGATAGTAATGACGTGTTGTATGTATCATATTTTTGTCCGAATATTCGAAGATAAAAGACTTCGCGAAGATCGTTCGTTGAGCATTGAAGAAACAATCTATTGGAAACTATATCGATTATAGAGAATAGTTTGAACATTCATTCATGACAAAAGAAAAAATACTCAACTATTTCTATATTAAAGGCAGCAGCTAATCTATTTCATGATCATCCGTTACATTTATTACGTCATATGCAAAATTCACTTCGAATGCAAGTAAAATGAAGATACGATTTAAAACAAAAAATCTGTTTTTAAAATTATTTTAGATACATCATTTATTAAATTATGATCTATCTGATCTTTGTAGCAGAAATCAAAAACCGAAGAAAACAGATAAAGATTCTAACATTAGAATATTTAGTACAAGTCGTGATATATCAATTGTTGGTAATGATAATAAATTATATCGTGGTCAAATTGATTCATGTGAAATAATACCGTTAAAAAATATTAAAGAAAAAAAATTAAAATTAAAAGCAAATATAAATGAAAATATTGAAATTAATTTTGATCAATTTGATCAAATAAATAAAACAATAGGTGATGAATATTTATTTGAATATTTAGATTGGCAAACAAAATTTAATGAACAAGTAATAGGAAAAAATTAATATTATTGACGCTTTTGTTTGTATGTTATCAGGATTTACCGGATGAACTATGCGAGGAATTATTTTCTCATTGGAAATCAATTCTATGTAAAGAACAACCATGTGATTGTAATTCAGAAATAAAATTTGAAGAAAATGATTTAATCAATACTCAAACTGATTCTACATTATCGGATCATACAAATGATGATCAATGTGTTTCTAATGATTTCGAAGAATATCCAATAGATGAATCTATGTGTCTTTGTTCACAATATTCATGTGAATGTTTAAAAGATGATCAAAATGAGATACAAGATTCTACTTCAAATATTTTATTAAATAATCAATCAGATGATTTAACAAACGAAATAAATATTCAACAGGAATCTAAAATAATTTCAAATGATTCAATACCAATTGTTGAAGAAGAAATAATCCTATCAGATTGTTTTATTAATCAAAACGATCAATGGACACAACAATTTGATCTTTTTCAAAGTAGAAAAAGAAATCTATATTTTTTATTAAAGTTCATTAAAATATTTTCAGGTACTCATCAACCATTATCTGAACAAAATAATAAATTATCCGGTTCTATGAATTGTACAAATCTTGACTTAGATGATCCTACCGCTTTTCGACAACAAATTCTTGATCGTTATCAACAATATAATTAAATTTGCTTTTTAGTTTGATATTGAATTTTCTTTTTTCAAATTAAATTCGAATTCAAACAATAACAATGAAATACAAACAAACATTTATTAAAAAACAATTTCAACACGTGTTATGTTACCGTTACTATTGCCATCACATTAATACATTTTCATTTCGCGATGTTATTTTAGTATGGCATTTGATTGCTACTTTTACATAGAATCGGAAAAGAACTGACAAAAAAGAGAGAACGATGAAATGACACAGAGACAAAGTATTTCTTTTTTTTCACTCTCTCTCTCTCGTTTCAGTGTTTTGTTATTGTTACTGTTGCTGCTGCTGTTGTTGTCATTGTTCATTTTCTTTTCTCACTTGGGGTGTCTGTTTTTTGAAAACAACAAATTATCATCATTTTTGCGATTGTTAGCAACGTGATTAGTCCAACAGAAGATTTAAGAAAGTATTAAATAATGAACGATCTAATCTATATTCCAACTACCACTTTACCAAAGTAGAAAAAAACTAGTTTCAGTTAATAGAAACAATAAAAATTTTTATTTTAGATTCAATGTCGATCCATTAAGAAGAGATTGGAATGATTTTCAACATAATTCATCACAAGGTCGTTATATTGTACCAAGAACATTTTCCGAGTAAAAGATTTGTCTTATATCAAAACTTGTTTTTATTTTTATTTTAAATAGATATCGACCTCAACGATATAGATTAACAGCAGTGAAAAAACAATTATATAATCCAAAAGTACCATCTATTCGACATATGGAACGTGATGAAGTTCTATGTCGTTTACCAGAAGAACATTGCCGTCATACTAGTACATATACTGAAGGTTAATATATTCTTAATAAAGAATTTTCTTTTATTTAAAAGTTTTTTCTTATTTAGAACAATTTGAAAATTGGGATCCAACTAAAGATGGTACATTTGTTGAATTTACTGGATTAGTTAGTAAAAATAAATCTAATTTAATAATACTTTTTTAAACTTTAGGGCGTTAGTCAAGCAGGTAAAACATTATTAGGAGAAAATGATAATTTGCCAGAACAACGTGAACCATGGACAGCATTTGGTCATAGGTTAATATGAATTATTTCATAAAACTTGTAAATCTATGATGTATATATGTATAGATTACGAGCAGACAAATCGCAAAGAGATGCACAATCAGCTACTACAGCTTATCGAAGTTCATCATTGACACATTTACCATCTACATCATCAATAAATAAACCAATCAATTATAGTTATCGTAATTATGGTAGGGGTACATATGATACAAGTACTAAACATACAATGTGGCCAAGAGTATGTTTTTAATTTCATTACTATATCTAAATAAATTTTATTTGTAATGGATAGTATCATATGAATACAAAAAATAGTTTTGATTCAATTAATCGTTTACCTATGCCAAGTAATATGCAGGTAAATTTAGTATTTTAGAAAAATAAAATAATAGTATCATTATAATTCTTTTTAGAATGTTTTTCGTTCAGCATCTATGTATAATGGCGTTTACAATACTCCTTGGAAATAAACCTATCCTGTTAATACTATTACAAACAGAAAAGAACTTGAATTTAAAAAAGAAAAATACAAAAATAAATTAGAGAACAGTCTTTCAATATATTTTCTACTGATTCATATTTCGAAAAAAAAAAAAAAAGAAAAAGAAAAAAGACCTTGATGCTATTAGTGAGTGTTTGTTTTAATTACGGATGAATAATAAAAAAAAGAGAAATGTGTTATTCTTTGTTTTTTGCTACAAATAAAAGATTTATAGTCAAATTCATTTATTGAATTTTAGAACAGAAAACAAATTTATTGCTTGAATTAATTATTTTATATTTATTACTAATCTTATCCGTCTCGTTTACTTTTATAACAAAGCTAAACGTACAGAATAGTCATAGTCCAAGAATATTTATACGCTTCAACCCAAATATCATTGATGTTTTATTGACCTGTTTTTTGTTATTTATATTATATGATGAATGAAGCGAATATTGCTATCTTCATTCGATCCAATTTTGATTCGATCGAATCGAATTATTCGATTTGTTTTTGGTCTCTAATGAGTATGCCTTGAGTTATTTAATTGTTTTGGAATAACGAAGTTTACAAATATACATCTGTCTTTATGATTATTAGTAAGGGGATTGAAATTTTGAAACTAAAAAAATGAAAGAAAAGAGGTATAGAACACTGACGACAAACTCTCATACCGGTGCTTTATATTTTCAAGAAAATGAAAAAAATATGCATCAGTCTATTAGAACGGCGTTATGCTCTACATCACACTAAAGTGTAAAAGAGTAATTATAGAAATTAAATTTTGTTTTCTTGTTAATGTAGTATTTTCTCATGAAATGAACGAGTTCCGTTGAATTAATAATCTTCAGCTCTGTGTTAAACAGATAAGATCATTTCTATCAATTATAATCATACAGTATTATACATTTCTTAAAATACTCAGTTCATTATATGGTAATACAATTTTCTTCCTGATATTTTTCTATTATTTCAAAGTTTCAAGTATACATGTATATTAGAACGAAATTGAAGTATCATAGGCAGATGTCTTCATTTAGGCCTACAAAAAAAACAGGTTTATTGATAAGGTGAAAAGAGGTAATATTTAAAAAATAGTAAGTTTTCTGTAGTATTTCATTTGATTTGATATTCGAAGTCTTAAATACTAGAAGAATGAATCGAATACGGCTGAAACCTTGATTATAAACAAAATTGATATCTCTCTTCATTATAACAGAAATAAAAAGAGCAAAAGTACATATTACGACATGAGATTCATTTATGTATTCTCATTTGTGTAGAACGATGTGAGAAGAAATATATTTTAACTTACATACGAAAAGATAATTTCATTATGTCTTCTATTTTCTTAATCTAACTATCTCATTTTGAAAGAAATACTTGAACTGCAATTCAAAACGATGGAGATAGAATGCAACAAAACTATGAAATCGGAAAAAAGCAGAATAAATGAAGAAGAACGAATATATTTTATACGTCAGTGTCAAAAATATATAGGTATACCTATTTTTTTCTTCACATTAGTAAGTAGTGCATGCGCATTGTGTGTATCGATTGTATTCTTCATAATGGTTATATTTATCTATCTGGACGATATTATTATAGAGCTTACGTATCATATAAATCAAATGATTTATATTGCTTATTCATTTGTCATTCGAAATGAGCTTTCAAACCACTACAAAAAGAAGAAGATTGATACTGCTATTTGTTTCAATATACCTCATAATAGATCGTATGTTCTTAATTGGTTTTTATTTTTGTATATTTATAGATTTTATCATTCAAAATAGAATAAATGCTAACTTACTTTTCATTGAAATGTATAGTATTTTGTCAATTGTAATTAAGACAAGAGACAATTTACATCGTCAACGAACAAGACAAAATTCTTAGATGTATAAATGTCAACTTTATGCATTTTCATAGTAAGTGCATTCGTATTATTGCATATTAACCTATCAAGTCTAATACGATAGATATTTCTCTTCTTTACAAGCCATCGAGTATGAGATAGTTTTAATAAAATGTTGTCCAAATCAAATTATATGATGTTTATCTAATGAATGTATCATTATATACATAATTATGCATGTTTTCCTAACCTTTAACATAAAAAATAGTAGTGAAACAATTTTTTTATTTTATTGAATTAGTACAAACATATTGTTAGAACAATATTAAGAAATAGTCAGTTAAAAATCGCTTAGACTAAAACATATTATCGGTTCTGTTCAAAATATTTGTTTTAATTAAAATAAAAAGGATCTTAAGTTTAGTTGTTTTTTAGGTTATTTCGTTGTAACCGATAGCAATACTTTATGGAATATGCTATGAAAAATGCCGTCTATTTCGACAATAAGAAGGCGACCAAGGCGTTTATTACGCATTAGTCTTATTATTTTATTAATTTTATTTATTATATTTATTATCAATAAACTATTCTCATCCAACGAAATACAATCACTTTCTTGTTCTCAACTATGTCCCTATTCAAGTGAATTAACTAATAATACACTTCAGTTTGATTCATCCCATATTATTCGACATTTTCCAAATTTTGTTTGTCCACAAAATTTTCGTAATCTTGCTGATTGGGTTTATGGTTGGCCTAATGAATTCAATGAACGTTTACAAACTTTAACAGACGACAAAAAAAATATTGTTCCATGTCTACCATCGGGTAGCATTATTTACGTTTGTATTTGGTTTATCGATGATTTTTTTACTAAAATATATCCTCATTTACAAAATGATTTTGTATTGATTACTGGCGAAGGAGATATTTCAACACCAACACATTTAAAATATCTTCAAGCAGTTGATTCAAAAATCATTCATTGGTTTGGACAAAATGGACAATATAACGTATCAGCATTTGAAAAATTTACTCATATACCAATCGGTAATTTATTAATAGAAATATCTTCCAAAAAAGAAATTGATACATTCATCTTCATTGATTATTCGCTTATTTTTAGGTATCAATTGTTTTCAAATGGCCGATGGTATACAAAGCGTATATTCTCAACAATTAAATCATACATTACCACCCATATTTAATGATCCAGATGAACCATCTGCTTATGTTCAACCACAGGATATATCACATCGAGTATTAACAACAATCACACCAACACAAAATTTAGTACTCATTAATTTTGATGTAGTTACGGATAGAACTGGTCTTCGTTCACATATTCGAAGGACTATGTGTTCGCCTAAGAACAGAAAAATTTATCCATATGTAACATGTATATTTAAAGGTGGTGGTATTGATATAGAAGATTTACCAAAACTCTACGAACGAAATCGTCAATATCCATTTTGGTTATCACCTCGTGGTGGTGGTCTTGATTGTCATCGAACATGGGAAGCACTTTATTTGGATATAATACCAATTGTATGGAATAGTTCATTGAATGTTTTATATGAGAATTTACCTGTTGTAATTATAAATGATTATATAGAGTTAAATGAAACATTTTTATATAAGAAATTACACGAAATATCGACAAAAAAATTATCAACACGTAAAATATATCAATATGAAAAATTACGTAATGCATATTGGCGGCGTTTAATACTCAATAAATCAAGACATCGAAATAAGAAAAATATCCATAAACGAACAGAACAATGTTGGCGAGCTAAAACTACAATCGATTGGCGTCGAATTTTATCATTTTTCAATCCATTAAATTTATTCTAAAATTTTATTATGTCTATGAAATATGACACAACAAAATTAATCAATATGATATTGAAAAATATTTTAGATTTCATGCTCCATATACATGCGTTATTACCTGATACGATCTAATAATTTATTTTAAATAGTAAAAATCAAGCAGGAAGATTTCATGTATTGATCATAAGCTATTGTGAATTTAGTACAAAATGTATTATAACAAAGAACAGTCTTTATCAGAAGTGCAATAATCTTCTTTTAATTCAATAATTTATTTAGAAAATGTTCTCTTTATCTTGCTTTTATTATTTATATTGATGTTGTGCTACTCTTTATGCTTAAACACTTTTTTTTAAAGTTAGATGATATTTTTATGTTCTATACTAGTAAAAATTACAGTATATATTCTTTTCAATAGAAAAACAAGTATTTCATAACTGACATATGCAGTGTTTTTACATGAGTAATTGTTTGACAAATGCATGACATATAAGTATAAATTGATTTTCCTTGTCTTCTGTTAGAGGTGCACGTATTTATTTATTTGTGTATGATTTGTTTTTCTGTTTTTTTCTCTAAAGGCATCACCGTTGACATGGACATATGTATGACAAACATTTTTTTTTGTTAGAAAACTAAACGATGAAATCATCAAATAAATAAACTATATAAAAAAAAGAGTCTCTATTCTACGTTTATGTTTTAAATTTCTGGATTTTCTAAATAATATTTTCTTGTTCATTCTCAATGTAAGCACAAATTCCATTCAGATGAGAATAAAGAACAATGCTGACAGAAAGCACAAGTAGTTTCACTGTTCACGAATTTTGCACTACCATTACAGATTGAATAATAATAATAATAGTAAAAAAGAAAAACAAATATAGTCTAATCTATAGTGTTAGTTTTTCTAAAATGGGATAAATTAATTTGTTGCATTTGTATGTGGAGTAACACCAAGTAATGTAGTCAACGGAGGAATCGTTGGTCCTGATGATTCACTGGGCGTTGGTGTTTTATATTTTGGAAAAGCTAAACCAAAACGTGTTTCAATACCTAAAAGAACAAATAAATATCATATTTGACGTTTTTTTTAATAATATCAAATAAATTATTCACCTTCAAATGTTGCTTGAGCTAAATGAAATCCGCCAACATGATCCGAATTAGCAGAAAGTATAATTGATTGACGTGATTTAGCAGAATACTGTTCTTGATCAACATGTTTTGATCCGTCTAATTTTCTACCTTGAAAATCAACATTTAAAGCACGTTGAAGAAGTTCATAGGTAAGTAATGTAAAACCAAATTGTGGTGATGAACGTAACATACGTGCACCAGCACCTAAATTTATTAAAATAATAGTCAATCAATCTATCTATCTATCTATATGTGATTACCTTTCCAAAAAGCTCTCCATCCTTCTTCAGCATAAATTTTTCTAAAAGCATCAACTAACCCATCATATTTCGTTTGTCCTTTTCTTGCTTGTACTTGTAAACGTGTTTTAACAACATCAGCTGGTGTACAAAGACCAGCAGCTGGTATACCAGCAAGAAGACCGGATATGAATAAACTTTTTGGATCATTATAGCCATGTTCATCAGCAAATTTCTTTTTGGTATGAGCATAAGCAGGAAAATAGATGCAAGAAAATGGAATATCACGAAGAAAACATGCACGAGCACCTTTATATAAACCACGAAGTCCAAGTTCACGTATGACTTCAGTAGCAGCTGGACGACGAACAGATTGAAGTTCACCGGCAACTTGTAAACGAATTTTAACTATTTCTAATGGATTTGTAAATGTAACCTAGTTAATTAGAATATTAATATGTAAAATAAATAATTTAAAGAAAAAAAGAGTATATTTATACTTGAGATGCTCCGGCACATCCACCAGCTACAACCTCAGCCCAAAGTGGAATAGTTCCATCAGGTAATGTTAATCTATCACGAACAAAATCATTCATTGCTAATTTAATAGCTTTTTCAGGTGCAACACCAACCAATTGAGGAATTAATCCTAAAATGATTGATTATCTAATTTTGTTTTTTTGAGTCATTTCCTTTACCTCGATATAAACCAAAAACACCTTCATGTCGAATAACTTTTTTAAAACAATCTATCGAATTTCGATAAAGACGTTCACCAACAATACTTGTACTTCGTTGATTTTGCATACGAGTTTTTACTTTAAAATATCAGAAAAAAGTTCTTTTTTTTTAAATATACAAAAATCGAATTTACCAAGATCAATAGGATAAACAGCTGTAGCACCAACAGCACCAGCAATACTACCTAAATAAATTTTTGTATTTTATAAATATCTATATATATAAATTTTCTTTCATACCAAGACCAAATCGATAACCACTTTCAAGAACTTTCATTCCAATACTTTGATGTTCAACTTTATAATGTTCATCAACAATTTCTGATCGTAATCGATATGGTAATAAATGTTCATTAGCTGATATTGTATCAAAATCATTAAAATCAACATATTCATTTGCAACATCTTTTCCAAAATGACTTTGATGTAATACACGTGTTATAGCAAATAAAATATCGATTTGTAATGGTGTTGTACGTGGAAAATGTTGTGCTTCTGTTAAAAAATCCTCTTTTGTTATACTTGCTGATTTATATGTATGTGCTTTTCTTGCACATATAGATAAATAGATCTTTCTCATTGATTCAATATTTGATAATAATTGTAGAAATGCTGTAAAATATGGATATGAAATTTGATTTGGTAATGCTGTTGATGATGATAATTTAACAATATCATGTAAATTTGTTGATATAAAATCGGATAATTGATATTGTCGTATTTCTTTAAGGATAATTTCGAAATTTTTTAATGAAATATAACCAACATTTGTTTTATCAAATTTACGGAATGTTTGAATTGTTTGTTCATCAATAAAATCTAAATGAAAATAATATAATTAAAATTTAGAAGAACAAAAAATAGAATTTTTGTTACCTAGTAAAATTTGCGTAAATTCTTTATATGTAATTTGTCTTTGGTGCTTATCACCGAAATGCATGTGAACAAATTCAGAATCAAAATTAAAAGGAAATTCTTTAAACTGTTTTGTTGCTGATATAATATATCGAAAATCATCAAAAGTAATAAAACCTTGTCCATGACGATCAAATAATTGAAAAGCAAGACGATATAAAGAATCCGATGCAGTTAATAATGCTTCAAAATTGATAAATTCAGTTATCGTTATCTCTATTGAAGGAAAAAAAACAAATGACATTTATAAATAATAAAAAAAACTACATACTTTGATCTTTATTTAAATCAACTAATGATGCAAGAATATTAAGTGTTGTTGGATCAATATTATCACCTTTTAAATAACCTAAATAATCTTGTAAAAATTCATTCGGTGTCATATAAAGTTGACCAAGATGTTCATGATGAGCATAACGATTGAAAACAGACAATAATTCATCATGATTAGCTGATGAAATCTCTCGTGCTATGGAAATAAATTTTTATGATTTTAATTTTATATTTATTATTATATTTACATTTTATACGATCATCACTATTAGGTGCCATGCTTTGCTAGTGTTGTGTACTGTTTTACACTACACGCAACGAAAACGAAAACAAATTTTTTCAAATGACCTCGCCTAGTCGCGAGTACGTCTGATTGAAACACTTAACCATATCATTTTCGTTGCATGTCGACACCGCATACCCGTAAGAGATAACTAGCGACCTCTTTTTAATTAATTATGCGTCCAAATAAATACTTGTTATTAATTATTATACAATCACTGTTTGAAAAATATGCTTTGTCAAAGTTTATACATATATATGAAAGAAAGAATTCGGCGCCACTGTCTGATAAATAATATGGCGTGATTCTGTCGACCTAGATAGTCTACGTATGAGTAGTATCTATTGAGTTTAATCAGTAATCATGTGATTTTGGTCTAGTTGCGTATTTAAATAAATTGGGCGTAATTTTTTTTTTCTTTAGTGTTTAAGATCTACTTCCAACAACATAAAACATGGGAAAAGGTGGACATAATACACTTGTTGAAAGTAGTCATGATGAACAAATAGATTCAACATCACCTCATCGATTACCAACATTATCGGAAATAAAAGTAAAAATACCATCACATTGTTTTCGTCCCACCGTTCGAGAATCGATGACCTATGTTGCTAAAGATATTGTTTATGTTGCATTGACATTTTTTGTAATGTATCAAATTCAAAAAATGTTTACATATGGTTTCATGTTTTTCCCTGTTTATTGGTATATACAAGGTTTGTCTTGTTTTTTTCTTTATTTACAAAATTTTATTGATCATATTATTTGTTTCTATTTTTAGGTACACTTTATACATCACTGTTTGTACTTGGACATGATTGTGGACATGGAAGTTTTAGTTTTTATCCATTATTAAACAATATTGTTGGTAAGAAATATGAGATTATTATGAATAAATAAAAAAATAATTTTAATTCTATCTAGGAACGATCTTACACACTTGGATTTTAGCACCATATTATACATGGAAGGTATTGTAGAATAAATAATTGACCTATTTTTAAAATATGTATGTTGATTGTTAGGTTACCCATAATAAACATCATAAAAACACGTGTAATATTGATAAAGATGAAGTTTTTTATCCTCAACAAGGTGAAGCTCATGAAGATTCGCTTATGGATGATATATTTTTTTGGTTTCCCGGTGTTGGTTGGTTCTATTATTTAATAAAGGGCTACTCACCAAGAACAGTCAATCATTTTAATCCAGTAAATATATTAATTTTTTTTGTTTGAAATATAAAGAAAAGAAATTCTTTTCTTATTTTTAATTAAGTTTGATCCAATGTTTTATAATAAACATTTCTTCGGTGTTTGCTCATCACTCGCTTTATATCTCGGAATGGTAAATTTAAAACAAAATTTATTTTGTTTTTTGATTTAATTTTACATTTTAGTGTTATTTGATGTTTGTTTATGCCATGACATATGGATTTATTAACTTACTCGCTTATCATCTTATACCGGTGTTTATCTTTGCATCTTATATGGTCATTATAACTTTGTTACATCATACCGAAATGTAATATATTTTATTTATAATAATAAATTTCTAATATTCTAAGAATTAATTATAGTCAGAAGATTTAGATAGCTGTTCGCATCATTATAAGTCTAATAACTGATTTATTTTAGTGACGTACCATGGTATACAGATTCAGAATGGAATAATGTAAAAGGACAATTATCAACTGTTGATCGTCACTATGGTCATGCACATTCAATAATACACTCAATTGGTACACATCAGATCCATCATCTTTTTACTAAAGTACCACATTATCATTTAGGTATGAACTAATATGATTTTTTTTGTTTAAAAAAATGTTCTTGTGTTTTTATAGAAGAAGCAACAGCACATTTTCGCAAAGCATTTCCTGATTTAGTTCGTTATAATGAAGAGCCAGTCTTATTTGCTTTTGCACGTATGTGCAAGATCTTTCTTAAACAACGTAGCTTTCAAGGTGACTCAAACGTATTTACATATACAGAAGATGGCAACAATAACAAAAATCACAAAAATTTATAATAGATAATGAAAATGAACGCAATTTCTTCATCGTACAAGTGATGATACAACAATTTAATAGTTTTTCTTTTCTATCAATGTTGAAATTATAGATTTTTGTCGCTACCATTTCCCCTTTTAAAAATAGAGGATTCATCTTTTTATTATGATTAGATTGTCCTTTGAAAAAGAACAAAGTTAAATAAACATACAACATAACATGCACTTTTTTTTTGGTCATATCTTATCACTAAAGACCACGAACTCGTTTATCAGAGTTTGTTTTCATATTTACTACCATTAACTACTAAATATCTTATTTTATTAAACGTAATTGTACGCGTTGTAGAGTATAATGACAGATTCTGAGTTAAATGAACCGCCAACAAATGTCGAAATAATTGATAAACCAAAATCAAAATATGGTAGTAAAATAAATTAATCGTTTCATTTACATATATCTATATATAAATCATTTATAGACGATACAAAAATCTATCTTTACATTGCAATGACTCTATCATCTTGGGTAGGTATAATTGCTATTGTGTTGTGCATGTAAAATGCTTCATATATATATATATATATCTTAATAATAAGAGAAATATTATTGTATAGGGAGATCGTATGTGGAATTTTGCTATTGGTATTTATTTTATTTCTTTAAACCCAACTAATCTGCAAGGTGTAGCTATAAATGGTATTGCACTTAACGTAGTTGTTATTTTATTTGCTACTGCTATTGGAAATTGGATTGATCGTAATCCTCGTCTATCATGTAAATTGTTTTTCTTTTCTATCGAATTATTTAAGACATTTTCTTATATAGCTCTTCGAAAAATATTATTTTTTCAAAATTTATCTGTTGCTTCAATGGCAGTTTTAGTTGTATATGCTTTATACAATCAATCTACTATTCCAGCAAATTGGATGATTATAATTCAAGGTTAATTTTATCTAATCATTTGTTGTTGTTTTTTGTCTATTCTATAATCTTGGATTTTATTAGGATTTTTAATTGGTATTGGTATGATAGCACAATTATCGAGTGTTGCATGTAAAGTATCAATATCAAGAGATTGGATTGTTGCATTATATGGTTCTGATCGACAAAATTTAGCTAGTAGATTCTCGTTTATTCTTATTCTATTTTGTTTTTTTAAACTATTGTCAATTAGAATAGATACGAATGCTACACTTCGTCGAATTGATCTACTTAGTGGTGTATTAGCACCTATTTTAACAGGTGCTGTTATGGCATTTACATCTCGATGGATAAGTGCTGTACTAATTGCTGGTTGGAATGTTGTTTCACTTGGTTTTGAACTCTTCTTATATACACGAGTCTATCATTCAGCTATCGATGTATTATCTCATAAAACTTCCAGTGAAAGTAAATGAATAGGATTATAATAAAAATATTTATTATATTATTATTATTTAGAATCAACCGAATCCAAGAAAAACGAAGGAATATCGAAGTATACATTTTATTACATAAATAAAAAGATTTATTTTATTGTATAACCTTTATTTTAATCAGGTTTTGTCCATCGTTTCAAGGCCTAAAAACATATACATCTTTATCAGTTTGTTTACCGGGACTTTCACTTGCATTACTTTATATGACTGTTTTAAGTTTTGATTCTGTAACACGAGGTAAAGATTGAATCGAAATTTAAAAGATGTTTTTTTTCTTATATAAATTCTCATATTTAGCTTATGTAATTGAACAAGGTTTATCAGAAGTTCTTTTGGGTTTATTGAATGCATTAGGATCAATTGTTGGCATTATTGGTACATTTATTTATCCAATTTTTGTTAAACGTACAGGTCTTGTACGTACAGGTGTTATTGGTTTTTGGTCAGAATTTTCGATGTTAATTCTTTGTTTATTATCTCTATTTGTTCATGGTACATCATTTACACCATTTAAACGATTTACAATTGGTTCCTGTCATTTATATGAAATGTCTAATAAAGATAGTACAATAAATATAAAACCATTTGAATGTTCAAATTCGAAATTTTCCGTTCTTTTACTTGTCATTGGTATTACACTCAATCGATTTGGTAAATTTTCATTTAGATCAAAATTTTGATTTTTTTTATTCATCGATATTTATTATTAGGATTATGGATTGCAGATTTAACTGTGACTCAGTTACAACAAGAACGTGTTCCAGAAAATATTCGTGGTCGTATAGGCGGTACTCAACATTCACTTAATCAATTTTTCGATATGCTTCGTTATACACTTATTATTCTTTTACCACGAATGTCACAATTTGGTTATCATATTTGTTCATCTGTTTTATCTGTATTTCTAGCATCATTTATCTATACAATATGGTCATGTTCATCTGCATCCCAACTTGTTCCGCCAGCTACTGATATTGAAATGAGTGAAACAAATGCTAATTCAGTCCAACAACGTGAAGCTGATCAAATTGAAATGATAGATCCTGTTGATAATAATAGTGATAATAAAAATGACAGTTAATTTTTACTAATAATTTTTGTTTTTTTTATATTTTGGTATTTAATGTTTTAAATGAACTGTATTTTGTATTTCATATATTATTTTCCATGTCTATGAATATTTTGCTTTTATTGATATCTCCATTTATTCTATACTAAATAACTTTAATAAACATTATATAACATTTTTCATATAAAAACATTTCATTTAATTCTTCATAATCATTCATAGTTACAACAGATAAATTCTTGTATAGAATATCCTACCAAGATAAAACTCTTTCCATAACTAATATCGTTATCACGAGATGCCAGAGCTGAGCAAGTACGGATCTTCTCGAGTACACGAGTACGAGTATCAGCAAAATCGTACTCGAGTACGAGTATCAGCAAAATCGTACTCGAGTACGAGTACAAGAAAACCGTACTCGAGTACGAGCACAAGTACTATTGTACTGAGGGTGATTAAGAGTTTCTGTCATAGTTGATAAGGAAAAAAATCTAGATTTAAACGGTTGAAACGAAAAGACGTTATGAATTCATGTCATCAATGCAGCACATAATTACATAATAATTTTTTATGAGACATAATCAAGAACTCCAAAATCATATCCTCGAGTACGTGTACTTCAAGTACTTTGCCCAGCTCTGCGAGATGCCAATCACAATCAATATTAACGATCACATGCATACATTCTTGACAAATCTCTTATATATATATATATTACTGTTTGATCTGATACATCTTGTAGTTGAATCTAACTGAATGATTTATTTAAAATTTTCACGATTATTATTTCTTGTTGATATTCAAATTTATATGCGAAAAATAATTGACAATTACTGCTGAGAAATGAAAATCATTGGACATATTAATTCACATTGAATGACACCGACAGCAACAGTCGGTGCGCATCGACAGGTTCAATGTCATTGATCAGTGATGAATTGATACCATTGGCATCACTGAGACTTGGAGCGCACTGACTTCACTGACATGTTGATGTGGATTTCCATTGATTGTAATTCATAACCAGAGTGTCATCCCATTTTCTAGATAAAATATTTAGATGAGAGATTAGATCAGCGGAATAGATTATCAAATGTATTTCTGACAAGTGACTATTAAATGTTAAATTACATTTGAGAAAGAGTGACATATTAATTTTCATACTATCTGTTATGTCTGTCTCTAATATATATTTTATTTTATTTACCTCGATCTTTGAAAGATGCATTTACTTTTATTTTCTCAAAAATATCTTTCTAGAATAATCACTTATGTATGTGCTTTTTTTGTCGAAGATATTCACTTACATCACTTAATTCTCTAGTTCTTCATATTTCTTAAAAACAACTATTAATGGTCATGAAAAAACACATGTATCAAGGTTATAATCGATCTTTGTTTATTTTAAGCACATATGCTGAAGTATCATGTAACAATCAACTATGAGATGTCAGTGTGCCCTAGATTTCAGTGACATCAACGGTATCAGTGCATTACTGATCAATGATACAAAGGTCGTCAGTGTTTCAGTGACATAGTTGACGAACGTATCGATTTTCTTACTGTTGTCATTGATACCGCTCATCGCCAATTTATATAAAATCAATTATTTTTTTTTCTCATTTTGAATTTTATTAATTAATCATCGAAATACAATTTTAATATCATCATTCAACTAATTAAACATACACAACAGATTTCTATCATGACATTTATAATATTCTATTATTAAACATAAAATAATAAAACATATCCACCAGGGATAAACAGAACGAATATTAAACAAACATATTATATAACTCAATTCAATAGCATACTAGAAATCCACCTGGGATTTCAAACATATTACATATTAACACAACAAAAAAAAGAGAAGCATTGAACATATATATATTAACTAACAAACATACTTAATATAAACTTGCAAACTTAAATTTAATTTGATATATTTTCAACTTAAAAAAAACTCAAATAGAAAATAAATAAACTTATAAATTTCAACAATCTTCATCATTTGCTGTATCCATCGAAATATTATCTGGAACTGATTGTCCATTTAAAGTATCCATCGAACTAAATAAAGAAAGAAAAAAATCTAATTATTAGTTTTCTCTAAATTTATATTAATTCAAAATATCTTCTTGGTTTTGTTTTTTCTTCTTAAATAAATAACAAATGAAATATACAGTTCCTAGATTTCACACATACAAACAAAAATAAAGAATATTTTCCTTTGAAATGACAAAAAAAAAAGAAAACAATTTAATCTAATATAATTATCTCGTCGATTTCATTATCACTTGTCCAAGAAAAATTAGTTTGATTTATATCATCGACAATCATGATTGACCTGTAGAAATGGTGAGGAATATTATACAAAAAAAAAGATACAATCCAACATCTTTTCTTCCAGATTAAAATACTAACGAATGTCTTAATACTCGAAATAATAAAACTTACTTTGTTTCATCAACAGTTGATATTGACAAAGAAGATGAACAACTAGTTTCATTATTTATTGTATCAGTTTTTTGTCGTCGATTTAATTTAGCCATTTTTTTATGATAATCAGTCGATCGTTCTCTTTGCCAAAGCCAATGATTTGGTTGAATAAGCATAATCTATTATCACATATATTTTGTTATATATATATATAAGAATTTAAATAAATCTCTTTACTTCATCACATTCATCTTTAGTAACTCGAGCTCGAAAGCCTATACGAGTCCATAAATCATTTTTTTTGGTTAAAAATCTTTTAAAATCATTTTTTAAATCAACTGATGGACGACCATCATTTGTTTGAAGTGCCCATGGTAATAATCCATATTTAGCTGTAAGATCTTCTTCAACAGAATCATGAGCTAACCATCTAGAAATAAATATTATATAAAAATGTGTTTTTTTTTCTCGTCATATTCATACAATGCTAAATAAAACGAATCTTTTGTATAATAATGTTCACGTAATTTAGCTCGCCAAAAATAAATTAATGTCATTGCTAATAAATACTAAAATTATCAAAGAAAAATGAATTGATCTCAATATGAAATAAATGTTTTTTTTACTTTATCAGCATGTCGAAAATGTTTGTCATGTTTAAGAAAATCAGATATGGATGAATTATCTATAAAATAGATATTGAAAAACGAAATATATTTTTATATGAGATAAATACCAATTAAATGAAGAAATAAAGAAACACAACGACGTAATTTAAGTATTGAATTTTGATGAAGATTTTCTTTATAATTTAATTGTATTTGATGATCAATCATGGGCATTGATGGTACTAATGCAAATGTATTTGAACATTCTTGATTTTGTTGACAATAATTATAGAATGGATGAGCAATAGTTGTTATTGTCATTGGTGCATAATGATAATGATAATGATAGTGATAATGATGATGTGGTGGTTTTATTTCATTGAGATTTGTTGTAGTTGACAGAGGTTGACGAGATACAGAAGATGATGATAAACAATTGTTGAAAGACATTGATTATATTGTAATAAAAATGATATTCTGAAATAAGAGACATTTTCCAGATAGGATGAAAAAGTATAGCTTATTAACTCAGTATTCATATCCTTTTACAATTCAAAAGATTATAAGAATTTTTGAAGTTGTCTTTCAATTGATATAGATTCACAATGCTCAAATTGTTCATATAATTATTTGAACTTGAAAGAGAATTGTTTATGAAGTTTGAGAATTAGTGAATTCAACTGGAAATTTTTCATTTCGAACAGCAATCAATGTAAATCATTTTTAGCATATTTTTCAATACAAATAATTCTTGATAAAATCAAGTTTTGTAATCATTTAATTTTAATGAGCTGCAATCACTTTTTTTATTTATATTCGATGTTTTAATCCTATGTAATTTTATATGTATGCTTTTTTTGTGTGATCATGTTCATCCTTATATCAATTATATTAACTGTTCATATTTATATCCATGAAATATAAATTTCATTTTCTATTTCAAAAGTACATCATATTCAATTCGTTCTGCACGTATTTATCTTCAATTGATTAATCGCCGATCTCTTTGTATTCTCATTTGATTATTAATCTATGTCCAGTTTTGACATCGTTTCATTATTCATATTGTAACTATAATGATTCTCTTTTTATAAATTTATCATCACATTCGAAACAGTCTCACCTATGACATTTAGAAAAATCTATTATTATCATTATTCATTGTTAAAAATACTTGAGAAAAAAAACACAAATACTACTTGAATCCCTTTTTGTTTTTATTCTTCTCAAATAGAAGTCACACACACACGCACACACACAAAAAGGAAAAAAATGGCTGACAATAAGTTGTTCTAATAAAGAAGAAAGAAAAAAAGAGAAAAAAAAAATTTAATTGACGTATAAACATTCATCTTTCGTTGGTTATATTGTCTAGCCATATAGATCGACATCATCAAACATATTAGAAATCATACATATATGGTCCAGAGAAGAAGAAAAAAAGATAATAAACCGACCGATTATGTTGTCGAATGCACACGAACAGAGAGTGTCTTTCATTTATGTTGAAATAGAAGAAGAAGAGGAGAGAGAAGAAGAAGAAGAAGAAGAAAAAAAACCAAACAACTGACAAAGACGACAATAATAACAACAACAAAAAGAGAAAGAAAAATGAAATATATATATATGAATGAATGATAGTTCTAGTAAATATATGAATATATAAAGAAGAAAAAAAAGTACGTGCGCGTACAAAATGGTGATATTAATTATGTACAAAAGACGAATGATGTCTACGTTGCTGATTTAGTTAAATAAGACTATGCAACCGGAAAGGAAAAAATATAAGCGAAGGGGTTTGAAAAAAGCAGAAAGATAGTGTCTTCATTTAAATTTAATATATAAAAATGTTTCGTTGCACAGGTTTTACATAGGTTTTTTCGTATCTTTCATCATAGTATCTTTCATACCAGTATTTCCACCACCACGTGGAGGAGTGACTGGACGATTATTACCCAATGATGGAGCTTTCGCTTTCTTTTCAGATGGTTTTAAAATCTATATAAAAATATAAATTAAAAAAGTTATTTGGTGTAAATAAAATCTTGTTTTACTTGAAAAGAACACATCAGTGTTTCATCAACAGACATCATCGCTCCGGCATTATCAAATTCACCACAGTAATTAGGCGCTGAAAATAATGTAACTAATTGCCGTTTTGCAAAAAATTCATAACCATCTTCCACAACCTTTGAAATATTAAAAATTAATATTTAGCTAAAAATAAATATTAAAGAATAAACCTGATGAGCACGACATATAAGATCTAAGTCATGTTTATGTAGAAATTTCGATACAACTTCCGCTCCAAATGTAAATGATACACCACGATCATTTTCTCCCCAACCATTTACTTCTTTATCAGGATCAGACCATAATAAATCACACAATAAACCTTGATCAGGGACATCTGTTGGTCTCATTATTCGTCGAATTTGTTCCATAGATTGTAAATCAGGACTTAGGCCACCATGACAACAAAATATTTTTTCATCAATTATCGCAGCAACAGGCAGGCAGTTGAAACAATCAGTAAATGTTTTCCATAATTTTATATTATAACGTCGTTTACATTCATCATAAAATCCATATATACGATTAATTGATGCACATTCATGATTACCACGAAGAAGAAAGAAATTTTCTGGATATTTTATCTTTAAAATAACAATGAATTAGAAATTATAGGAATAGAATGAAAGAAAAAGAAATACTTTGTAAGCCAATAAAAGACATATTGTTTCAAGTGATTGTTTTCCACGATCGACATAATCGCCAAGAAACAAATAATTAGATTCTGGTGGGAAACCACCATACTCAAATAATCGAAGAAGATCGTAATATTGTCCTAAAAATATATTCAATTGAAATAAAAAAAGACCTGACACGAAATATTTTGCATTTGCTTACCATGAATATCACCTAAATAGAAACAAAACGAAAGAATTTAGTAAGAAAATTTCGAAAATTTAATCATTACCGCATATTTTCAGTGGTGCTTCAAGTTCAAGTAAAATCGGTTGACTGAGAAATATTTCTCGTGATTTTAAACATAACCCACGTACTTCATTTTCGCTTAAATGAACATTTTTATTGGGTTTAGCTCCACGAACTAAATAGAAGTAAATTCTTATATAATCAAAAATATTATGAATAAATTATATATATTACATTCAAGTAACCGTTGAATAATTCCATCGATATTTAATTTATCTTGTTCGTTGGCCATTTTAAACAATAACAAGTAAAAAGGAGAATAACAATTGTAATATGTGTTCCGAAAAGGATTAGGGGACGAAAATTAAATATTTAAAAAAAAGCTAATTTCGTTTTTTTTTTGGTTTCTTTTAATTATTTTTCAACATTTTTTATTTTCAATATAATAAAATCGTAAGACACAAATTGTAGCGAAAATGTTCGTGGTTTCGTTTTTTTTTATTATCTATAAATTGAAAAACAAAATAATGTTGAAGACAAGAAATAACAATATGTGGCCATTTCTAACGGTATCAATACTCTTTTTTGAAGATATATAAAAACATATAGACTGTCTCTGTCTATTTCGAATTGACTAATGAAAATTATATTTTAGTAGAAAAAATTTTTCAAAAAAAAATATTTAGATAAAAGTTGAAAAGATTTCTTTTGTTATTTATTTCTTTCTTTCGTTGATGATGTTTTTATTTAAGTTAATTATGCAGTTTAAATCATAATCATTGTAAAGAATTCAATCAAGATTTTGATTGGTTGGAATATAGCCAATAGTGGACTAAATGTTTTCTATTGTCATCTGCTTATTTTAATATTTATTTATGGATTTTTTATGTTTTTCTCGAGGCAAAAGTTTTGTTTAAATAAAAAACACGTGTAGCTCGAGATTTTTTTTCTCTCTGGCGAATATATGAATTTTTTGTTTTTTATTCGTAGCGAAAAAATGATTAAGATGAAATGAATCTTTTTTTTTACAAAAAAGGCTAATCTATTAATAAAAAAGTTTCCAAAAGTTTAAATTTGATTTGAATTATTCGATGCAAGATGTCCCTCTATTGCTTTCGCATGAATAATTAGAAATGATTTATTTTTATACGACAGCTGTTGACTGTTAGATTAGAATCTTATGATTACTATTCACCTTTTTGAAATGAAGATCTAGTTGATAATATTTCTTCGGTCTTTTAAGAAAGAATATTGTTGTATATATTCACACAGAATCTAAATTAACGATATACAAAATCAATTTTATTTATTTTTAGTCTCGATAGATAAGATTAATTTCCGGTGTTGGTATCAAGAGAACTTTCCTCAAACTTTCTTTATAATAAATCTAGAACAGTTATTAAATACTCATTTCTTTGATTGATTCAGTCGGCGAATGACATCTCTTTATGAATTTGCATTGATTTATGATATATTTTCGTCAGTAGGAACATTACAAATTTATTCATATTCTCAATTCAACTACTAGTTATTTCTCTCTCCTATAATCTTGATTCTGCTCATATCTAAATAATGTTTTATTGATCTGTTAGTTTTTTTTAGATAAACAGCGAGTCCACAACGTGAATTTCAACTGTAGTTATTTAGCTAGTCATGCAGTTCATTTATCATTTTCTGTTCTGAATATTTCTCAAAATAGAATTATGGTATGTAGCAATAATATTCTACAATTATTATCAGTGAATAATGATGGAATTTATGATTATATGCCAATAAATTTTATAATTGATACAACTATTTCATTTGTATAATATTTAATATTACATAATAAATGATTACAATTACTTTTACTGCATCTGAATTAACACTTCCTATAGTTGATAATCAACTACAATATTATTAAATTTATCTGTATTTCTCTTTATTTATTTTGTGCATGAAAATTCACAGTCATTCATAAACAAGAAATAGTTGGTATTTGCGTGAGTATGTTACTATAAAAGTATTTATGGTATTCAAAACAATGATATGATTCATCGAAATTGATAAGGAATAGGAAATAGATAATCTATATATTTTGTTATTTAAGTTAGGTATAAATATTTGTATTTTATGCGAATAACACAAATGATATTCTATCGGAGACGGATAAGGTCAGCTTAACCGTAAAGGTGATAAAAACAACACACTTGAAATCGATAAAGAGTATATGACATCAACATAGTGACCTATTTGAATATATCCAAAATGGAATGTTCAGTTTTTTTATGGACTATTTTTTATAATCAATATGTGTAGTTACAATATTTACCATCTAATAAACGCGTTTTATTAAGTAGAATCCTCTTTTCCGGATATAAAACCGTCGCTTTATAATTAAAAACTGGAAAAAATACGCCTCCTTCGTGTTGTTCATAAAATTATATACACAAATACTACAATTGCACTTCTTGTGCCACAGTGTATTCGACTGGAATAAATTTCTTTTCTGTCTTAAAGATCATTGTACTAACGAAATTTTATATACATAATAAAATTATCATCATTGAGACAGTTATACTTTCTGACATAGTATTGACACGATCGTGTTAGTGTGAAAGAACACGTAATTTCAATCTTATAAAAATGTAATTCAAAACAGAAAACTTTAGATCATTAGGGAATTGCTCAAGAAATTTCTTTAATCTACATGAAAGTTTTTATTCTAGAGTTGAAGAAAACTATTTTTTTTCATTAGTCTAATTATAACAATATAACTCAATTAATACTCGACATAATATGTTCTTCAAATTATAGAAATATTTTCCTTGTAAATTTAGTATCCTTGGAATCTATTCATCCATTATAAGATCTTTGTAATTAAATGATAATTCTATTAGATATTTTCTTAGTGTTTAATATTGAACTTACTTAATGAAATACGTATGAGAATATTCTTTTACTTATCGCTATTATCTTGATATGATAATTATGTGATTTATTACGCATAGATAGATTTTATTCAAAAAATTTTCATTTGAATATATCCAGTTTATGCCATTTACAACATAGTCTTATGAAAAATGTATAATATAGAGTTTTGTCAGTTCCAGACAGTGAAGTTTACTTCTTTTTTTAATGGACAACTTAATATGATAAGTCAATTTATTTTAATTACTATATACTTGTATTTACATGGTACACATACATATTTTTAACAAGATACTTCATCAAGTATGTCTATGACACCCAATGAAGACAAATTAAGTGAATAATGGCAAGGACATAATTATTACATGTACATGCTGTGGAACTGATTCAAAATGAATTATGTGCTTGGTTACGACAAAAAAATTAGTTTTTTTTTATATAAAAATAATTTCTTTACTTGAATGAAACTATTTCATATAGTAAAACTTGTTGTGTCTTTGTTTTTTTTTCTTTTAGTTTTCCTAAGTATAGCTTTTCTAGAGACCTTAAATATGGAAATATGTGATAAAGATAGATTTTTGATTTTTACTGTCTATCAAGGACGCAAAGTCCTTTTTGCTTAAATCTAAGACTAAAAAATACGTAAAAACCCTTGTTTTTGATTTTATTGACCAAAAAGAAAATTAAAATTTTCCAAGGCAGGGGGGCGTGACACCCCACGCGCCCCTCTGTCTATCTAGGATTTTTCTTATCAGCGGACATCCTTGACATTGATATACTTAGTTTTATTTGAAGACATCAGGTGCCTGAAAAAAAACCAGAGAAAGAGAGAGACAGAGTGAAATAAAAGAATAAATCTTTTTGAGACGCAGTTACATGTGAGTCAGATAAATATGAAGACGAGAGTTACAAACGTGAAAGAATCTAAAGTGCGTAAATTATTATTATTTTATTATTTATTAAAATTATTTAAAATTTCTTTCAGATCTGGACTTTACCTCGAGCGAGTACTTCGCTACCCTCGATGTCTGTTATTGGGTCTGCTCACCCAGACGTCGTGAGAATAAAAGTATATGTAAGAAAATATATTTTCTATTGTTATTATTTATTTATTTTTTAAATGATAAACTATCATAGAAACCGAACAGTAATACAAGTGATGAAGCACAGGAGGCAGGTTCATCAAAGAAATTTTGTATTGATCCACGTCTTACCACTTATCAAACATTACAATGTCTGATTGCACAAGCATTCGATATTAAAACAGATTTTACTATAAGCGCACTTCAGAGATGTTTATCAACTGGACGCGAACAAATAACAGCTATTTGGTCTGACTGGGATCTTGATGCGTCAATACAAGCTGTTCAACCAGGTTCCTATTTGAGATTACGCTATGAAATAACAGCAAGAGAAGAAGGTATTGAATTCTGTTAATTTAATTATTATATTAAATTTTATTTCATACTAGGTCTTGATGATTGGGATTTTGTTGGATTAAATGATTTCAATGCAAATATTCGTTGGTTTAATGTTGACAGTCGATCTATTATTGCAACTGTAAATCAAACAGCAGGAAAAGCAGCTTCAGCTTTAAATAAAGCTATAAGTATAATTTTCATTTTTAGAAATGATTTCTTTCAATATATATATATTAAATTGTTTTAGATTGGATGTATGGAGGAAATGAACGACGTGGTTCAAATGCTCTTGGTGAAGGTGATATGAAAAAATTTCTTGATTGTGAAGGACGTCTTATACATGTTAATGAATTACGTCAAGCTATTTTCGAAGGCGGTATTGAACCATCCTATCGAAAAGTTGTATGGCGTCATTTATTAAATATTTTTCCATTAAATATGACCGGTCTTGCACGTATTGATTATCTCAAACGTATAGAAATCAAATATAAAACGTTTGTTATCAATTTTTTTTTATTTTCAAAAAAATAATTTCGAACGATTATTGTTATTTATTAGATTGAGAAAACGATGGATGGATGAAGAACATCAAAATGAAAATATTCGATTAACTATGCGTACTATAGAAAAAGATGTTTCTCGAACTGATAGAGCATTTGGTTTTTATGCGGATTCTGGTGATGGTTATGAGAATGTCCAAGCTCTATTTCATATTCTTATGACATACTGTGTTAATCATCCAAATACTACATATTGTCAAGGTTTGTATTCGAAATTATTTATTCTTATCACAGTTATAAATAGAATATAAACTAAAAATATATATATATGCCAAGAGTTAACACGTTTGATTACGCAATTATAAGAGTTTTATCAAATTATCTTATCTGATAAATCGTGAAACTAGAAATTTTTTCATAAAAATAACGAATATTTTTGTTTAGGTATGACTGATTATGCTTCGATTATATTTTATATTATGCGTGAAGAAGGATTAGCATATATTTGCTTTTGTTCAATAATGAGACGTATTCGAGCAAATTTTGCTGCAGATGGTGTTGCTATTGCAACTAAATTTCATCATCTTAAAGTACTTTTACAAGCTATTGATCCTGTTTATTGGAGTTTTCTTGAATCATGTGATGCAGGTATATTAAATCTTGATATAATTCTATAAATATATATATACCTATGTTGTTTTTTGATTATTTAGTGAATCTTTATTTTACATATCGTTGGCTCGTGCTCGAATGTAAACGTGAATTTCCATTTAATGATGCTCTACGTGTACTTGAAGTCATGTGGGCAACATTACCAATTGATAGTGAACCCCCACAACTCAGTGAAATATCTTTAATAACTTCACCATCGGATACAATGATTACTGATATATTATGTCCATCACCTCCTCGACTTGTACAACGTCGTACAGTTAGTTGTCCTCAATTGTTTCAACTCGATGAATTTAATTCTCAAAAATATAAACATCGTTCATCTTCATTAGCTTTTCATAATAAAGAACAACTATTAACAGAGATACAAAGTCGACAACAACAACAACAATTAGATTTTAATTCAGCTTCAGATAGTGATGAATATCAATGTTCTTCATTTAATAATATGAATATGAATACCAATTCAACATATACGAGACCACGAGAAAAAAGTTTAGAAAATTCATTTTCACTTAGTGAAATATCTGAATTTGATTCAGATAATATATCAACATCTACTAGTAGTTATGCTATGAATACTCTTACGAATTCTTCTTCACAAAATTCCTTAACAATAAATTGGTTACAACGTTTACCTTCGGGAGATACAACATGGCTAGAAGAAGATAATTTATTTTTAATTTTTGTTTGTGTATCAATATTCTTAGCACATCGAACAGTATTATTAAAACAGAATAATCTTGATGAACAAGAAATATCCATGCATTTTGATCGATATCGTCGTCGTCATTGTGCTGACCGAATTTTAATATGTGCACGAACACTTTATGCCCAATATATACAATGGAGTAGAAAAAAACGCATGCTCGATGATCTCAATCGTTTTTCGGCGAGTTAATCATTTATCTACATTTCTTTTATTTCCAACGCAATATTTATTTTTTGTTGTTATTGTTGTTGTTGTTATTTCGGGTTTATTTTAAACTGTGTATTATCATTCTATTTATCTCAATATCCATTAACTTTTAATTTTTTTTTTTCGTTTTTTTTCGATAGAATCTAAAAGAGATAATAGAAGAAAGAAAGAAGTGATGATTTTTAAAAATAAGACAGTGAAACTATTATCTGCTTTTTTTACTGCATAAGTTAAATTGTAATTGTATATATATTTAATTTGTATATCTAAAATAAATACTAATGTTGGTATCTTCTAAACGCGCGTATGTTTATTCTATTCATTTTTCTTTCTCTTTATTTTGTTATTATATAAACAATGAAATAAGATGCAATTAAGTATTTTAACTAAGATTATAATTTTATCAATGATATGTACAATCGGTGTTACTTTTCTTTTATTGAGTTGCATATTACCTAATTTATATTGGCCAATGTTAATTCTTCTGTTTTATTTCATTTTATCTATAGTAATTGTTATTACTTCAAATTGTAATCAGTATAATGATAATACAGGTCTAAATGAGCTAGCTATATTTATTGGTGCTATTTTAATTGTATCAACATTTGGTCTTCTTATTGTCATCTATCTTAAAGGAGTCATACAAGGTTTAAGCTTGAGTTTTGCTCTTATCGGAAATATTATTTTTATTAGTACTATTATTGTTTATGCATTATTATTTCATGACAAAACGAATGAAATCATCTGAACATTAGAAGAGACACAGAAATATTTACATCTCCTTACTTTTGAAATGTTATATACACAAGTCTTTTATCTAATCAATGTTACTGAATTATGAAACAGAAAAAAATAGAAATGTAATTGAAGCGAAACTAGCAGTCAAAATTTTTTTAATCTATATTCAATTGATGAATAATCGTAAGTATATGCATTCGTGACACTTATGCTAAACTCAATGATAAAAACATTTTTCATAAGAAATTTTTGTCAGATATGATTCGTTTTTTGTCAGATGAATAATACTAAGTGAATATATCATGACTTGATTTGGTAGTCGAGATATGATTATTTTAGAATTTATGATTTTTTTGCGATTATCTTTCAATCTGGAATGAACTGGAAAGAAAATACTTTCATTGTTTTGTCAACATATCAGTTACATCAAACCGTGTGACATATGTCTTTTTTTATTTCTGTCTCTCTCTCTCTCTAAGATAAAACATTATGTTACTAAGGTAAGCTTATCTTTCTGACGTTTTTCTATACAAGACGTTGTATATAAGCTCTTTAGCTTATCATAAATATCTCATTTATTCCAGTTATACTCTGTTAACGTCGAATTATTTAATTTACGCAGTTACTTAAAAAAATGAGTTACAATAATCCATACCAAAGTCCATACGCACCACCGCCTCCTACTGATTCAACATTTGGTGGTTTTAGTGCACCAAATTTTACTGCAGGATCTGGTGGCTATTGTCCACCACCACCATATCCATCAGGTGGTGGTCATCATTCACATTTTAACCCACCGAGTGGATACTGTCCACCACCGACGTCGAACTTTGGCCCAGGACAATATCAATATGAAGGTCATAATCAATATGCACCACCTCCTCCTTCGAATTTTTGTCCGCCACCTCCTTCTTCTGCTTATTGTCCACCACCTCCCTCGTCTAATTTTTGTCCACCACCACCACATGGTCATCATCATCATCATGGACATTATTGAGGTGTATAAAAAAAAGTCTTTTTTTGTTGTTGAAAACAGTATCTTGTACTAAATTGACTTGTTCATTTTATTTCATGTTTTATCAATAAAAAATATATGTATATCTGTATACAAGAAGTGAAAATTTAATTAATATATTAAAATTATTGCTCCAGAAATATTCATTTTTGTTAGACATGTAGCGTGTATCTGTTCTTATCTATTTAACTCTTCAAAAAAATTTACTGATTTAACAGTTTCTAAAAAATAATGAATAGTCAAAGAAGAACTTTTATATACATTTCATAGCTTCAACAAAACGCAGTTCACATAGAAAATTCTACTACTTTGATTATGAAAAATATTTTAATATCATAAATAAAATGATTCATAGTGAAAGATGTTGCATTCCAAAACAATCATAGCATATTCTATTTCACATACGTCATTTTATTAATAATAATAACATACGATTTACTCATTAAAAAAAGTATTCATCTTATCTTCTCGTAGCACATGCTTTTTTTGTCGACATCAAAAAATAAAATTTTGAGTGTTGTTATCTTTTGTTTCAATACTCATGACGTATAATACGCAGTTGACTACTTCGTCATACAGCTTTTTCTTATCATAGAACAAACATGAATGAATCAGATCTTGAAAAATCTAGATGCAACAATATTGTAAGGTATATAAATACAAGATCTGTTGTCTTTGTATCAAATAAGCGTGTTTTTACTTATTCAATTTATTTATCGTATATATAAATATGGGTCAAGAATATTCACATAACAACCATCATCATCATCATCGCCCTCATCATCACCATCAGCCTCATTATCCATCGAATCCTGGTTATTGTCCACCACCACCAGTTCCTGGCTATTGTCCACCACCAGTGCCTGGCTATTGTCCTCCACCACCAATACCTAGCTACTGTCCTCCTCCACCTCAAAGTGGTTTTTGTCCACCACCTCCACCACATTTTCATGGACATCACGGCCATCATGGCCATCATTATCATCATTAAAAGTTTTCAACAAGAAAAACTTTGCTAATGTTACATTTTATTATACATTTTTTATACTATTTTTAAATAAAATATATTTGTAAAAGGACATCATGTTGAATGATATTCTATGTAATTTTCCGATCAATCTCTAATAATAGAAATAAAAGAGCTATCAAAATTATAATAGTATGATGTAGTGGTCATTATAACTTCCCTCTAAAGCAGTCTCCAAAAAAATCGAATGGATGTCATTGACCAATTTATATTATGTGGTATATGTTCAGTTATATTCGATAATTTTTTCCCACTAGATCATTCCTCTTTTATTCAAAATGAAGATATAAATGTTATCAATTAGAATATTGAATATGAATTAATTCGTATTATAATTAATAATAACATCGTTTCATTAATTTTCATATCCAATATTAAATAAACATACATTTGACATATGAAATAATATCAATTATTTCCATTTATTAACATTTTTTTCTACTTTTAGATACCCCTATGTACTTAATAAAAATAATTTGTTTCTAAAACAAATCAAATAAAACAATAATTAAGAAACAACATTATTATGCTTTTATTTTATCATGGTGAAAAAATCTTCAAATTGAAGTTATGAATTATTAACTAGAACATGAAAAATTTAAAAGCAATTTAAAACATGAGAAGACGATATCTTATTAATTTATTAAATGAACCTAAATCAATTTTAAATATTTTCTGTAACCGATAAATTTGATTGGTATTTTTATTTAAACTTTTCTTTTTTCTTATTCAATATCTTTTTTATTTAATTTCATTTATAATTAAAATTTTTAAATGAACAAGAAAATTGACAAGAAAATTAACAAAAAACAAAACCATCTTTATATTAATGAAAAAAAAAAAAGATGTAATAATTGTGCACGAGTTATTCATTCTTCGTATATGTAGCCCATTTTTTTGCAATTGTTTTTTGTTTCTAATTTTGTGAAATTATTTGTGACTCGTTTCAGTTGTACATACTCCATCCCAAGTAATACATTATTTGATATGAACGTTTTTGTATCGAATAGAAATTGTTCAACATAATGGTCATGGGCTTCATCAAAATTCAAAACGAGAAGAGAAAAAATTGAACAATTGTTGAAATACTTTCTTCTAAATTATTTTTTCTTTGTGGTGTTTTGTTACATAAGGATAATTTCTTGACGACCGGAAACGACTGAGATATTTGAATAAATAATTGATGTTCAAATGGATGTTCGTCAAATAATGTAATACTTTTCACGTTTTTAAATGATCCACCTGGAAAGTTATTTCCCAGGTCAACCAATCCAACGTTGGATCCGATCATCCGACAGAATCCGATAGGATTCCTGGTGACGGATTTGCATTGGATTCCGTACGGAAAATTTTCAGTCACTTGCTGCAAATTTGATGAGCGGCGTTTTTAGCTATTTTCTAAGATGGCCTTATGGTCACCTATCGGATCTGTCGAAATCCGTTTGTTGGAAATTGTGAGATCCGATGTTGGATCCGACCACAACGGAATCCGAAGTAATTCCGTCACCAGGAATCCTATAGGATTTTGTCGGATCGTCGGATTCCGATAGAATCCGGCATAGGATCCAATCGGATCCGAATATGAGATTGGTGCACCTGGATTGTTATATTGAAATAATATTCTATTATATTTGTGCAGGAATACGAATAAATATTACATGAAGCCATTTGAGCATGCTGATAATAATTGACGGATGAAACATATTTTTCATTTCCAATAACGGATAATGTATGTTTAATATATTCATTTAATGGTACATTCATCACATTATTAACAAAAATAAACGAATGAATGTTGAACTGAAATTGTTTTAAATGTGTTAAATAATTTAAAATGTTATTTTTTAAATCATAACCATCGATAAATTTATTATAATGATTTACTTGAAGATATAAAGTTAATTTTTCTAAGGAAATCATTCGATGAACAAGTGGTATAACTAATTCATCAGTACATGCTTGTGTTTACATACGATGTTAACGAAAAACATTTCAGATTATATAATATATTCTAGAAAAAAGAGTTTTATTAATTTGTTACAATGAACCTTAACAATTTACTTTGTGATTAATTAAACGATCTGAATGAATATTTGAAACATGAATATAAAGTGTGTGCAATTTATTTAAACGACCATCAAGTAAATAAATACAATCATTGAAAGTTTCAACATTAATATGCAATTCATTTAATGTTTGAGAAAATATTTGTTGTCGGTGCAACAAGTCATTCAGTGATACTTGTTCATCATAGACAAATGATGTTCGAAAATTGAAGTAATGTAAATTGAACATATTCAATATATATATAAATACACGTGTTACTAAATGTTCTTCTAGTGACCGATGTTCATCATTGAGTGAAATCATAATCGATGTTATTTGAGTTTTTAACGACTCAAATAAAGAATAACGATCTAAATAAATAAATAACATAAAATAGAAAAATAAAACTAATCATTGAATACATTCTTACTATTAAACAAATATGTTGCCATTTGACCATTAATAGAATACAAACGAATGCCATGTAGATATGGATAAGGCGTGGCAAGTAATATCCTTTTCATTGATGATGATTCAAGATTTAACCATTTTATTTTATGGTGAATTTTAGGCAGAATTTGTAAACAAAATCGATCAATTAATTTATTATCAGGTGGTTCTATGATATCATTTGATGATGAAATAAATAATGTTAATGTGTTTGTGAAAATGTCATCACACAATATGTTATCTAATCGATCATTTGTATTGAATACATTAAAAACATCAACTGTATTGAGTTTTTTTTAAATCAATACAAAAATTTCATCCGGTAAATTAATAAAATGATTACAATAAAGTTCCATACGATTTGTGTTATTATTATATAAATCGTCTATATTTGATTTTCTAAATAAAAAGATTAAAATAAAAATATAATTATTTAAAATATAGATTTAACTAACGATGGCTTATTTAGAAATAAACGTCTTCGTTTTTGATTTCCTTGAATAATTTTTCCTTCACCATTGAATTTATCTAAAAGTATAAATAAATATCCATTGAATTTATCTAAAGGTATAAACAGATATTCAATAAAAATATTCAAATAAAAATATCTAATAAAAATATAAATAAATATTCTTTAACAAATATTTACAAACCATTTATCTTAACTTTTTCGAGTAAATTTCTTTGAAATGTAATTATATATGCTGTTCATGAGAACTGCCATGTTTTATTTTGTTATTATATAATAATACCCTCTATACAGAGAGCACAAACGGTTACAAACGCGTTCTAAACGGACGAACGTTATCGAATGCAGTCTGAATGCGTTACGAACGCGTTTTCACACGTTTCGTTCGTTCAGAACGTATTCTCTAAGCGTTCGTCTCGACGTCGGTCGTAAAATTTATTTATAATAATAGCTATGAACAGCTGAAATTTTGTGTATATATATTCTATGACAAGTATTGATTATCACGATTATGATCTCGGCATAACTGCTCGACTTAGAATGATGCTTGAATAGCTAGTACTACTAGCCTAGTACAGTAAAACCTCTAGTAGTGAACACCTCTCGATAGTGAACACCTCCGTTTTATCAACGGTCTCAAGTCCGACGGAGCGATTTTTGCTGAAAATGCACCTCTCCAATATGAACACCTGTTTATTCTGAACAATGAACGCTTTTTTTCGGTCCCTTCTGGTATTGTCACCTCTCCAATGTGAACATATATGGGCAAAATCACGCAAAACAGGATATTGGCCTCTCTTATTCTTTCTGAATTTTATAAAAGAGCATTTTAATTAGAAAGTTTATTTTAGCATAGACATAGGTAAAAATGTGTGCTCTTTCTACTGACTATTAATTGAAGCTAATTAGTTAATTAGTTAATTAATTAAGCAATAATTAGTGAATATCTCGCTAACCGTATGATAAAAACATTTCAAATTTTCAGGCATTACTATTCAATATAGGCTGCATCTATGATGAAATTTTCAGCCAAATCGATTTCATAAAATTTCCTCCCTAAAAACTGACTCCCTACGGTTCCCATGAGTTTTTGAAATAGAAATTTTTATGTCAGTATATACTCTGGATTTTAAAGATAGATCTACACTTTTTGAAATCAGTTTGTAACTTTCTGTTTAGTTATACGAGTATATTTTTCTTCACACAGTCGTACTATTTCACATCGCTAACGAATTTGTCACGTCGCTAACGCCAGATGAGCGCTAATTATTGAAAAATCTAATCATAATTAGAAAAGGGGTTGTATAGCTATTTTGGAGTGTTAGCAGTCGTCTACAAAATGTACTAATCAGTTTCGAAAGATAACATCGAGATTCGCTGAAATTTACAACTGAAGTACATGAAGTGAAAGTTGATGTCCTTTTTACGTCACGTCACTAACGCTTACTATTTCGTCAATAACTTCTGTAAACCAGCGCTTTTAGAGCTGTTTTTTTTCTGACTATCTAGGGCAGCTCAACATACATATAAAATACAAAAATCAACTTTAAAAAAGTTCATCAGGCTGAGATATACATCTTGCAGTTTTACGAAGTCACGTCGCTAACAAATGATTTTGCCCATATACGACCAAGGGGTGGGTGAAAGAAGATGACATAGTGGGTTAGGGGATTTATCTGAAAATAATTCTAAAATTAAAACTATTCCGAGAAATAGGAACTAGTTTTTGTTTTTTTAATGTCCATTTGTATTCGAACTCGAATTAGGCAGCTACTCAAATTAATAGACCTGTATAATGATTCGAAAGCAATAGGACAAACAACATTAGAAGATTTTTTTAGAAAAAAATAAGTTTTGTTTTTGTATTATAGTAGTTTGAAAAAACTTTTATTAAAATCGTTTAACTAATAATAAATGAACAATAGAATAGATATTCGGGTGTTTCTCTATCTCTACTATAAAGATATAAGCACATATTCTAAGATTTCTTCCATTTCAGGCTATATTATACATTAACTCTATAGTGAACACCTCCGTATAATGAACACTTTTTCCCGGTCCCGATGGTGTTCACATTAGGGAGGTTTTACTGTACTTAAATATATTGAAACAAAAAAAGTTCACATTTCCAAATGCAACGGATAATATTTAAATCTTAGTTGATCGAATTACACTAGTAATAACTAATACTAATCGTGAATATGCTCGATCGCATTGGGATATTGCTAATGGGTGGTCTGTTATTGCTAAATCATATTTTCAATAGGTTACTAAAGATTCATTTTGTAATGGATGACCACCACTGAAATTATTATCATTCCCACCTTATAAATGCATGAAAATGCATCACATACAGAAATGTGTTATAATTATATTCATGAATAACGAAGTAAAACCTACTTTACATTCAATATCTGGTACTAATTTTGAAGAGTAGAAATGCATACGTATTGAACCTTTTTCAAATCCATATGTTGCATATGCAGCAGTGAGAGGCATGTATGGATAGTGTATCGAAATTTCCGAAAATGTTTTTGATACCAACAATTGTAGAACAACATAAACGAGAGAATGATGCACGCTATTGTGCATTAACTGTTAGCGCATAGATACGATGAAAAAATTCAACCGATTACAATACAAAGTACCAGCAATTTATTGAACGCCTGTCGTTAAAATTCTCTATGAAATTAGTTAAAAAGAAATACTTAAGTAATGCATTAGTGAGGTTTCAAATTAAGAATACTATTAAATTTTGTATTGATGAAAATAATTTTAATAAAAAAAAATATTAAATCTTATATGACGATACAAAAGAAATTCTATGTGGAATAATTTGATTGTTGCTTGAATAAATTTTCTTATTGATAGAGGTCGCCAAGATAATTGACACGAGCATCTAAGTCATTGGTACAATGACAGAATAAATCTGTATTTGTTTATTGATGACTATGTCTATCAAATAAGAAAAAGAAATCATTTAATACAAAAATTCTATTGATGAAGAATATAGAAAATTATAAGAAGCACTACATGGAATAAAATAATATGATGTTGATTATAAATCGTAAATATTTATTTTATACCTTTAATGATTACTTTTTGTTTTGGCATATTAATAGATATCCAACAATCAATTTATTTCAATTATTAAAAATCTGTTATTAATTTTACGTTAATTACTATTTTATGATTATCATTAAAATATTATTTGTCAAATATATATAGAAATTTTATGGTTAAGATAACATTCAATTTATTGATCCTATATATAAAGTAAATAAGTCTATATTTACGATAATCAATAAAACAATTTTTAAAATACCTTAGAGATGCAATGTGATTATTTCAATTATAAATGATCAATAGCAAAGAAACAATTCTTTATAGCAAATTTTCTTGAAAAACAAAATTCTCACTGGGAATGGAATGTTATTATTTTTATCAATCAACAATGTATTAATACTAGTGTAAATAGACAACTATATATATATAAAGTTGCTCTTACAGAACAAAATCTAATGTAGATACCAAATAAAGAATGATAAAAATCGACTAAAAGAACAACTTCGAATGTTAAGCGTTAAAATCGAAAATATGAGCAAATGATTTAATAATATAATTTCAATGCTTACAATCATCAATTCAAATATACGAATTATTATCAATGAACATGAATTATTTTTGTCAAAACGCAAACAAGAGTTTAAATATATGCATTAATTTCATTCTTCGTGACGGACAATTGCAATTATGTAAATCAAAACAGAACTATATATTTGTATGATAAAGAATAATTATTAGTAGTAAGTTCTTTCAAATAGAACGGTCATTAAATAATTTAACAAGTAACGAATATTTATTTATTTAAAGATATTCTTTGTATTAATCGATATTTTTTAATCTATAAAAAAGATTTTCTAATCAATAAATTCATTATAATTTTTGTTTTAGATTCAACACGTCATATACATAATTATGGTCAATTATTATCCGAACAATTTAAACAATGTTATAAATTACTAATTAAAGATGAAAATTATTATTATGAAGATATTATTAATACTATAGAATTGATCGATAACGTACATATATCAATAAGAAAAGTCAATGCTACATAGTATCCGATGATAGTATGATTAGCAGATGGATGAACTGAGTTCAAGTTCTCCATCTAAATTCAATTGTAAATACTACTTGTATACAAAAATGAGAAAAAATAACTCAATGTCACTTTTTATACAACGATGACTAAAATTTCGATATCATTTATTTGTCTATCCTGTAAAAAATGGTGGATATTGAGGAGAAAAAGATTCCAGGTCCTCGACAATAGTCTGAATTCTTCAACTTAGCATTTCAAAATCTTCTATAACTGAAGTTTTCCCATTCGATCTTGGTCTATAATATTTTTAATTTGTATTTCAGATGTAAATGGATCGTCTTGCGCTTTTACAATTCGCTATACTTTTACTTGCTGTACCTTTGCAATATTTTATTTTAACTAAATGGTCTTTAAAAGATATTGAACAGACACAAGCGATTAATAAGTAAAAAATTTCTTCTAGATTTCATATAAATAAATATGTATATCGATCTAATTTTTTATTTTTAGAATCTCAAATCAAATTAATCAATTCTTACATTATTTAACACCAAATACATGGTTTAATTGGTTTATTAGTTTTGTTATTGAAGTTCCACTTGGATTTAATCCACTTTTACATAAACGTACATGGCGACGCGGAGTTGAATCACCTGCAACAGAAGTTTATTATATGAGAGAAAAATATGGATATTTTGCCAGTATGTTTTTTTGTCTAATATATTTTATAACGTAAGTGATATGAATTTTTTCTTATAGCTTCACCAAATATTCGATCACCTAAATCAGAATTTGTTAAATATCGAGTTGGTCAAGTTATTCGACATAAACTCTATGGTTATCGTGCAGTAATTGTTGGTTGGGATGAAATAGCTTCGGCACCAGATGAATGGCTTGATGAACATCATCAAGGACATCCAGTTAGTAGAAAATTCTAAAATATATTATTACTTAACGAATGTTTCTCTTTAATTTAGGAATATAGAACACAACCAAATTATTCTGTATTACTTGATACAAGAGATCGACGGGCTCATAAAACTTATATACCACAAGAACATATTGAAGTTATTCAACAAACAAAAGTATGTTACAACTTAGATTTTATACTTTAACTATCGAAATTATCTTATATATTTTAGATAGTCAATGCTCAAATTAGTGATTATTTCAATCTCTTTGACGGTGCCCAATATATAATGCAACCATGGTTACAAGAACAATATCCACATGATTAATATGTTAATCTTCTTGTTTTTTCTGTTGAACAGTTCGTTTGTTTGCTTTTCTTTCTTGTTATTTTGTATATGTTTATTCACATATAAACTCAATTAGGATTTTGACCAAATATTTAAATAAAGGTTTTTGATATGAATATATCTATTTCAGTTTAAATTATGGCTACTAAGCCAATATTTGTTGTTGATAATGGAGCTCATATGTCAAAATCAAAGATGAATACAACAACAGATAAAATAAGGTTTGAATTATATTTCTTTGTATATATTTGTAATAATTATTTTAAATATAGAGTTGTTCCTAATTGTATAATGAAATCAAAATTCTATCCTCGTCGTACTTTTATTGCCGATCAAATTGATAATGAATGTCCGAATAAAACAAGTCTTTATTATCAATTACCATTTCAAAAAGTGAATAAACCGAATAAAATAAAAACAAAACAACTATCTTTATTTATTTATCTAGGGTTATTTAGTTGATTGGAATATTCAAAAACAAGTATGGGATCATTTATTCGGCAAAGTAATAATTTCTCTCGATATCCATTAACAAACAATAATTATATTTAGATACCATTTAAATCAACTGGATTATTAATGACGGAACCATATATGAATTTAAATTTCATTCGAGAAACAATGGATCAAATATTTTTTGAAGAATATGAAGTTGCATCATTTGCACGATATGATTGTAAGTTTATAGTTAAATAAAAAAAGCAAACCAAATAATTCAATCGATATCTTTTTTCAGCTGCAACTCTTAGTGCATATCAATATGAACAAGATACCAATTCAAATTATGTACTTGTTGTTGATTCAGGTTTTTCATTTACACATATAGTTCCGTTTTATCAAGGAAGAAAAATACTTGATGGAATGACAAGGTATTATTTGAAAGATTAAAATAAATAGAATTTTTTGTATTTTTTTTTTTGAAAGAATTGATGTTGGTGGAAAACTATTAACTAATCAATTGAAAAGTGTTATTTCTTATCGGTAAGAATACATGATATGATAAATAATTCACTAAAGATTAAGTTAAGTGAGTTCCAAGTTTTTCGACAAATTGTAGCTTGTAACTATGTGCTTTTTGTTGTTGAGCATCACCAGTCGACTCAGTACAGTCCAGAGTATCTTTTAGAGCAATCAAAAACAGATGATTAGAGTTTTTCGCGAAAACTTAGATATCAATAAACTCCAAAGTTGAAGCACACTTACCTTGACCTTCATTTAAAAACTTTTATTTCTTGAATTCTAGACAATTATTAGTAATGAATGAAACATTTATTATTAATGAATTAAAAGAAAATGTATGCTTTGTTTCATTGGATTTTCAAGAAGATATGAAAAAAGCACGGTAAGATAGATATTTAAATAATTGATTAACTATAAGAAATATTTTAATTTCAGTTTACCATTATCAGAAAATCCATATGCTATCGATTATGTTTTACCTGATTATAATGAAACTAAACAAGGTTATGTTCAATCAGCAGTATCTAGCAATAATAATATAGATAATTCAAAAAAGAATTTAACAAAACAACAACAACAAGTATATAAAATATTGAGTTGAAAAAATTAATTCGAATTTATTCTAATATTAGATTGTACGAATGAATGTTGAACGTTTTACTATTCCGGAAATACTTTTTCGACCATCAATGATTGGTATTGATCAAGCTGGAATTGCTGAATCAATTTATAATTCTGTTGAAGAATTACCTGAACATATTCGACCAAGTTTATACAACAATATATTATTAATAGGTGGAAATTGTTTATTTCCAAATTTTAAACAACGTTTGTAAGTTTCATAATTTTATTTAGAGGAAAAAAACAATATTTTTCTTCTAGAGAAAATGAATTACGTTCAATGATTAAAGATGATTATCCACTTCGAATAACATTACCTGAAGAGTAAATAAAAAATTTTGTTTTTATATCTATATTCATGTTTTTCGGTTTTGTTTAGTCCAATCATGTATGGATTAAATGCCGGTGTTAATTTAACAAATTCATCTGATTATGGAAATTACTGTGTGACTAAACGAGAATATGATGAACATGGTGTAGCAATTTGCCATCGTAAATTTTCGGATAATTGCTGAATAGATTATGTGTTTAATTGATTTATTTTGTTGCAAATAAATACTGTCAGATATACAGACATATATCGGATATAATAAGTATATTGACATATTTACAAGATACTCTAGTGAAAGTCATAATAAAATGAAATCGAGTTTCTTTGATTAAAACGTAACTGCTCAACTGTATTATGAAAGAATCATAGTTCAAAAACTTGCACAAGTAATTATATATTTTATCAAGGTTATATCCTACTTGTTTGCATGCTCAATATAATGTCTTTTTTTTGTGAAATTCTATGATTATCGAAAAAATCAAGATGATAAATATGTATATATTTTTTTATCTTTGTTTTATCTTATTTATTCTTTTCGACTCAAAACAAGTTTTAAATAAAGATGATGATGAAAACAATAATAAATTTTGTTGAGTCGATGAATGTAAACCATTCTGAATGATACTCGCGTTTTTGTTATTTAAATTCGTGATGGATAAAGCATCTAGAGAGACAGAAGAAAAAAATCAATTTCAAATTAATAGAAATAACAAACTACATACGACACGAATTCGTCGTCCGAGTGCTTTTGGTGGTAAATTACGATTGAATTTAGCACGTACACCACCGCTTTTACCATGTGCACGGGTAACTTTACCCCACATAATACGAACACGATTTAAACGTTTTTGACCAGGTACTAAAGTCTTGCTAAAAATGAATTCAAGAGTTTTTTCTTACAAAATATTTAATCTGATATTTTAAAACTTACTTTTTAGCCTTGTATACATAGGCACAACGTTTACCTAAATAAAAGTTTGTTTCGCGTCGATTATTGACGCCATCGAGTTTAAGTAAAGCTGTATTTTCATGTTGATTACGTTTACCACGTCGGAAACCAGTAAATACTGCTTTTACATAGAGACTAATAGAATAAAAAAGATACTTATAATGAGAATTATTTAGGAATTTTTACATACCGGCCTTTCTTAATATAAGCACCTTGAGGTTTTTCAACTTTTTTTGACGATGTCATCGTTTGATCGGTAGTCAAATCTGAAAATAAAGTTAAATTATTTCGTGAGATGAAATGAAAAGACGAACAAACTGATTTCTTTTCTCCATTTACTTGAATAAAATAAATAAAATAAACAATTTATCTGATTGGTCAAACATAAACCATTACTCATGGAGTTTTTAGGAATGAAAATATAAAAAATATTCTAGTTTTATGATTTTAATTTAGTATAAAATGAATATTTTAAATCTTTTTGGCATTGTTATTTCGATGGAACTTTTCTTCTTCAAATTCAATTGGTTTTTAAAAGATCCAATCATAACGATGACTCACCTTTCTACTGTCTAGATATTCGTTAATGCGCGAATTGAAATTGTTAAAAGAAAAGTAATTATATAAAATAGGAAGTTACCTTTAATTTTATACATCTAAACAATTCACAAATCTAATAAGACCTGAAAACGTTTTAATCGATTGTAACAAAAAATTAGATAATGTATTAGAAGTAGTTATATTGAAAAATCAGAGATGGTATCCAATTAACGTTTGTTTTTAATGAATCTAAAAGTTTTCATTTAGATCTCGTTGATACCAGTGGAATACAATAATAAGAATTACATAGATTTTCGTTTTGAATATATAAATAAGATCTATGAGAATTTCAGCGATGGTTTTAACTATCTAATTAATAGGAAGAAATGTCACTTGATGTATCAACCATCAGTGTATTGTATCAAAATAATTCTGAATATTCAAAGTTAGATCTATCATTCGATCAGTCATATATATATCAATTATTATGATAAAATAAGACATGTCTTTATATATCTGACAATTCATATATTAAGTTCTTCTTTTAGAATCTAAATGTCATCGCAAGGTGAATCATTTTCTCAACGAACTGCGTTTCATACCGCTGGTAGTCGTAAAGTAAAATATAACTTTTTTTTGTTATTTATTAATAAACTTAGATCTTCTGTTTTTAGCCTATTGAAGTGAATCAACAATCATTAGCTCGTGTCGCTCAGATTCTAGGTGCTGTAGCTAAAGAAGAAGATGATACTAAACCATCCGAATATGAAAATGAATTTGATGGTGATGAAGTCGATGATGATCTTGTATTTAGTACAGTTCCACAACGATCATTAAATCCAACAACAACACAAATACATTTTGATGAAATTGATGATGATGAAATGCGTCGTTTTGCTGAATCATTTGAACAAGAACAACAAGATGTTAAAATGGATGACAATAATCAACTAGATGATAATGAAGATGATATTGATGATGATGCTGATCAACTTTGTGAAGATTATGCACTTAAAATGCAAACACCAACAAAATCAGTACATATAGAAAATAAAAAAAGAAAAGAACCATGTATTGAAGATCTCGATGCACTTTTAAATGATGATGATAGTGATAGTAATGACAATAATGAAAAAAATCAAATGGAACAACAACAAATGTCACCTGTATTTAAAAAAAAATTATAAATTTATTTATTTTATCATATATATAGAATGACTCTTTTTCTTTTTGTTAATTATATTCTAAACCTATAAATACCCTTTAATAAAATTGAAAAGTTAAAATTAATAATTATTTTATTATCAAATCTATTCGGCTTATCGCAATTAACTAGAATATTGTTTAGTTAAAAATAATGTTCTTGAATTGTCGTAAACATTCTTGAATTACCTAATCGAAAAACAAATAATTAATTTACTAATATATGCTCTTATTATGATTGATATAAAACAGTGACAAAATCAGGATTCCAAGTTGTTTTGACATGATCTAGCTTTTATTATAATGAGAAAATCCTGATAAAAATTTTATTTGAATTTCGAGATTATACTTAGATTTAATCTTTCTTGTTAGACTGATGTCCTGTAGGTTCTAGTTATACTCCAAAATAACTTTAATCTAAATATGTATGGACGTCACTCTTTCATTGTTAATAAATTATTAATTATTATGATGTTCTCAAAACATATTAAAGACTTATAGGAATGTTCTGGAAAGTCTAGTATTTAAACAGTAATGTGCGATGTTCTTATTCTTAATTGAAGAGTAAATACGACATTTCAACATCTTTTGAGTGTTTGAAAAGTCTCATAGAATTACTTACAAGCAACAATTCTTTTATAAACTGGTTGACTCTGTTAAATATCTTTGAAAGTAAGTTTTATAAAGAATATTTATCACATTTAATAACGAAAAATATTTTAAATAAATATAATTCAATGAAGTAAAAAGTTATTTTATAATAAGTTCTTTTGCACTAGGAAAGTAGTGCAAAACTGAAAGAAATTTATTTCACAAAACATTAAATCTGAGGTTGCTATCTGGTAGTAAATTTTAATGTTTCTTTGAGTAATTATGTTTTTCCAGGAAATATACTGAAGGTTTTTCAGTATGAATATCTATTCTTATTTCATTTTTCGCACGGTAATGCATTTTTTGTCGTGCTAGTTTGCTACCATTGACATACTGTGAATAATAGATTAACGGTTCATTTGTATTCTATCACGAAGAAAATTATGGAGAATATCAGTATAAAAGAACATTTTTTTTCTAATTCTTTCTTAGTTTAAAAACGAACAAACAAACAAGATGAGCGCTTCAAGTCAATCGACGATCTTATATTTAAATTTTGTTACACGTGAATTAAATCGTTATATTCCATTAGTATTTCTTGTACTTGGAACTATTGGTAATATATTAAATATTCTGGTTTTTACTCGTCCCGCACTTCGAGCAAATCCATGTTCAATTTATTTTATAAGTGGTAGTATTATGAATTTCTTCTCTCTTTATATTGGTTTAATAACACCATTTCTTGCTTTATATAATCTTGATCCTACAGTCATGTTTGATAGTTTATGTAGAATACGTTATTATTTACGTTTTTCGACAATTACACTTTCAACATGGTTTATTCTTTTAGCATGTGTAGATCGATATGTTTCAAGTTCTGCTCATGTTCATATACGATCATGGAGTTCAGTACGTGTAGCTAAACGTATTGTATTAATAGCTTGTATCATTTGTTTTTCTTTACCTTATACACAAGTATTTTTTTGTTATGTACTTACTCAAAAAAAAGTTTGTACATATACAAATAGTACATGTAACTTATTAAATAATATTATCTTATTTGTTTGTAATTCTGGTTTACCTCCAATATTAATGGTAATAATAAGTCTATTAACAATTCGTAATGTTAAACAATCAGCTCGTCTTGCACATGGTGCACGCCGAGATGTACAATTAGTACGAATATTATTTATACAAGTATCTGTTTTAGTATTATTTGCAATACCAGTTTTTGCACAAAAATTATATTCATCTGCAACTATGTTCACAGCAAAAAGTCCGTTAACAACGGCTATTGATAGTCTTGCGAATCAAATATCGATTGAAATTTCTTATATAAGCAACAGCACAACATTTTATGTATATTCAATAACAAGTAAAAAATATCGAAAAGAAGTTTCTCAAATCCTACTTTCATTTTATCGAAGTATTCGTCGAAATACTGTACAACCTGTTGAATTACCAAAAACACATTTAAATGAACTAACTCTAAAAACTCATAGATATTGAATATTGTAACTTAAAATATTTATCTTTGAAAAGAAAAAAATATTTGTTGTGTTGTTTTGTTTTCAATAAACTCTGTATTATAATTCGTTACTTCATTTTAATCATTAGAATATGTTATCGGATATAGAATATCCTTGATGGCAATATTGACTATAAGTTTCTTTTTCATTTTAAAATTTTTTAAATAATTCTATCAATATTTATTCATATTCTGGTTAGAATTCAATGTTAGTGCTGAATTATTTCATACTTTTCTAATATTTATAACATAATTCTTTCTTTTCATACGGATTGTTAAGTTTTCTGAAGAATTAATTATTATTTCTTAAGAATAATAGTTCTTTTCTTTTACAAAAAAAAGAATCCAAAAATAAACAGACAATAAAAAAAAGTACACATATACAATAGCAACGAGAATTTGTGTAAAATATGACGTCACTCATACTAGCATTTATTTTAAAGAACAGAACGATAAAAACAATATTTTTTCTATATCTATCACTGATTGGCAACTATACGATTGAAAGTATATTTGTTAGTTGCATTAATTTAATACTATATACAATTGAAAGCAAATATTCAAATATTGATCTATACTCTTTTTTTTGTCATCTCAAAATATTGAATACTTCAACTATTACGTACAGTATAATTCAATTTTAAAATTGACAATAGATTGACTAGATGATTTATACTACTGTTTATTACTGAAGTTTTTCTTTTAGAATTTCTTGTGATCTGATTTAATAGTGACGATATTATATGTGATTCATTGAAGAAAAAGGAATTGATTAGGTCAAAGGAAATTTTCTATGAAATCATTTTCTCATTCTTGCATACGCGTTTATATATGTAATACAGAATGAAAATAAAATCAACTTTTCTTTCTCGATCATAACCGGTTTGATTGGAAGTGGCAGAAAGTAAAATAACATAGTTATTTTTTAGATTTTTTAGTTGCAAATATCAAATCAGATTTTAATATTGTGAGTGTCTTCTTTTAATCAAATTAATTTTATAGTAATATGAAATCAAGAGTATGACTCATGTATTGTTCTTACTATTATTTCAAAAATAAATTTGATCAAGCAGGTAACGGAATGAGATTTTCTTTCCTTTTATTTTTGCAGTCGTCAACTATTAAATCATTGCTCGCGGCGTGACAACTTCAAATAATAATCACATACTGTATGCAAATAGCAGTAGTTATGTGCGCGTTCTTTTACTTGTTATTGTTATGAAAGAAAAATTTGACGAATATATGGCTGTGTGAGTCTTCAAATGTGCATTAGACACTACGTGACATTGAACTATTTCCTATTATAATTAAATGTAGGAGTTATAGGACAAAAATTAATGAGAGTTAATAGAGTATATTATCATCCCAAGAGTGGGAGTATATAGAAAATAATATAGAATCCATGTCAATGTACAAACAATTAGTCATTGATTGATTTCCTTCATGTATATTTGATTTAGATGAATAATGTTGAGTTCCTTTTTTTTCTTTTACATTCACAATAACAAATAATCACTTTTTTTTTCATAAACGTTTTCTTACTTTTCTTTTATTTGCTTCCTAGTCTGAAGTGATTTTACTGACTAAACTTCACAGATTGAATCAAAAGCACAAATAAAATTTCATACGATCATAAGAATTATAATAGCAGTCATAATACTCTTCCATGGTTTTATATTGAAAGACAAACAAACGGTGAATAAAACAGAAACGAAAAATTTTCTTTTTTCATTCTACTGCCAGAAAAAAATTGTACTTTAACTTTTGACAATGGGCAATTGTACAGCTGTACCTTCGCTTCGACGAACATCGAACAAATCAAGAACTAATACACGACATTCAACTATTCCTTCAGTATCGAATGGTACCCAATTAAATTTACCAAAACGTGAAACTTATGTAGTACATAATAATTTACCAACAACTACCGAATCTCCCTTTTGGGTTGTAGTCAAACATCGACGAAAACGAAAATTACAAACAAATCGTATTAAAACAACACGATACAACATTTTTACATTTCTACCAAAAAATATTTTTGAACAATTTCGTCGTATTGCTAATATTTATTTTGCGATTCTTATTGGTCTCAATTGGATACCTATAGTAAATGCTCTTTCAAAACAAGTAAAATCAATTTTTTTGTATGATATTAAGCATGTTTATATTAAATTTTATTAGGTTGCTTTCATACCATTAACCGTCATTTTAACTATTACAGCTATTAAAGATCTTGTCGAAGATTTAAAACGATGGAGAAG